GTAGTTTCAGTGTTGCCACTTTTAGTACTTTTGTACTAGATCTAGTCCTAAAATTGATTTTTTAGTACGTTAGTACGCTTTAGCAAAATCTAGTACTTTTTATAGTTGAATATATTTTCGCAGCAAAATTGGTCGAAACCACAATTGTGTGGTTTAAACGGAATTAAAACCAAAATAATTTTTAATTATTTTGGCAACAATGCAAACACCTGACTTTATGTTAGTGACATGAATAAAAAAATAATAATAATAATAATTATGCAATCATTTTATCTACTCCCATTGCGTAATTTTGGGTTTTTTCCATAAATAATGTTAAATGTTCATTATAAAATTCCTGCCTAACAACGTGAATAATAAACTCATTATTCACGTTGTTAGGCATCAGTGATAGGCCGATTTCAATATTCACTGTGATTTGATCGGGTTTTAAATTGGGAAAAGGCGACTATAATAACATAAATAGTATGGTAAATAGTGAGGTTAACCATTTGACAGATGTTTATTTATTTAATTTTGAAAATCATTTAATTATCTACTTATTGGAGTAGTTAAAGTATAGTATTACACTCGAGATTATGCGCAATATTCACTCGGATAATTTAGGTCTCTCGTCTGGCGACTCGAGACGTAAACCTCACCATCTTGAATAATAGCCTGCATTATCTCTCGTATAATAATTTACTATTGGTTGTCTCTCTTATATAGTTTATTTTTTTAGGATACTTAAATATATGTGTTATTTATTCAATTAAAAGTGCAGTCATCCAAATATTCGTAACACAAAACCAAATATATAAATATAAATTACCCATATAGCATTTAGTACAATCTAGTACGAAATTACGAAGCCACCTAGTACGAAATAAAATGAACGAGTGGCAACACTGCGTAGTTTGCGACGAGAAGGAAATCATAGAACAAACCAGGAAAATTTCATGAGGAAGTAATTATTTGTGTTTGTGTTTGATAATCAAAGGTAAGTGTAGGTATAAATCCAGCTAAAGAACTAAAACAGCCAACATATATAAAGTTGTCATATTAATATGCAGGAGTAATGTACATGTAACGTTACATTTAGAAAAAAACGTTTTTTGTATTGTACAATTTTGTGATTGTAAATTTAGTATTCCAATGACAATACAATTCAATAATATTAGAACCGTTTAGGCGTTTTATCACAGCGACAATATTTTTTATAAACTTGTTAACACATTACCACAGAACAAATGCACATTACTACAGATTTTGAGACGCTAAGGACCCAAGTAAGATAACATATCATAGTGATTCAGGTAGTTGTCTAATATTTAAAAATTTCGTTCATACAGATAAATGGAACGGAACAACAACAGGCCGATGTCAAACAACGGACCGATGTCGAACAACGGGCCGATGTCGAAAAAAGCGTGGAGTCATTTGAAGAGTCGTCCGATACAGATACGGATACAGATATATCCGTATCTGTATCTTTGTAATCATAATTGTTTTTTATTTATGTATAACATATTAATTTTTATTTATATATAAAATATTTATGTAATATTTTTATTTTTTTATACTTTTTTATTTCTTATTAAGAATTTATGTTTATTTTTTTATCAAAATATATGTTTTTTTTATACTTTTGCATTATTAATAATGCAGAAGTATATAATTATTACTATTATTATAATAATTATTATTACTCTATATTAATATTTACTAAAAATAGTAATAATTATACACTTTTGTATAAATCTATATAGTATATACTATGTATACTAGGTTCACGTGTACAGTACCTTCAGATACCCTTAATTTATGAAGTCACGGTGAATTCATATAGGTTCATCCGAAATCCACTCGTGAATTCATATGAACGTAAAATGAATCCATATGAATTCACAGTGACTTCATATTTTGTCGTCATCTGAGGGCACCCTGAATCCACGATGAAGTGAAATGAATTGAAAATGCCTTCATGTGAATCCATCGTGAATTCACGAATGTTTACTGGGATAATTATGTAACAAAATAAAGAACTAATATGTAAATGTTATGTAAACAATTTTATATGGCAATGTTCTTTGTTAGTTATATCATGGTTATGTAAATGGAACAGCCTGGTTTGCTGAGTGGAACTGATGGGCAGGGTGGCAGGCAGATTGTTTTGGCATCTGCCTATTTCGCCCATGATAGGGAGACATCCCCAGAAGAGGTGAGAAAACTGGTAAGGTTCTGTAAAGAGAAAGGCTTTGATCTGCTGGTTGGGTGTGACGCCAACGCCCACAGCCGGGTGTGGGGATCCACTGATACCAACCAGAGGGGAGAAGAGCTACTTGACTACTTACTAGAGGCAAACTTAGATATTCTAAACGAGGGCGATGAACCAACGTTTGTCACGGTTAACAGAAGGGAGGTTCTAGATCTCACCTTATGTAACCCACATCTGTCAAAGAGGGTCGGGTCTTGGAGAGTCTCCACAGAACCCACCCTGTCAGACCACAGACTCATAAGATTAACTCTGCAAGGAGTGGAATCTAGAGCAGTGTGGTGTAGGAATCCAAAGAACACAGTTTGGTCGATGTTTAATGAAGAACTCCGATCGCGGTTCGTGGGCTTTAGGGGTAGATATGGCAGTCCCGTAGATCTAGACCGTTGTGAACGTGAGATCAGAACGGCGATCACGGCTGCTTACGAGAAAAGCTGTCCGCTAAAGAAGGTGCACACCGAGCGGCGTAAGCTTAGGTGGAGCAAAGAGCTTTCGGATAGAAGGCAGCTGACACGCAAGCTCTTCAATAGGGCTAAAAAAGTTAACACGATGGCAGCTTGGGAAGCACATCGAGAAAGCCAGAGTATCTATAATCATCTGATTAAGGATGCTCGAAGAGAATCGTGGAGAGACATGTGCTCACAAATAAGCACCATGTCAGACACGGCAAAGCTAGCTAAGGTTTTAGCTGGCACGCGGGGTGAGGACCTTAGATTCCTTAAAAAGGATGATGGAGGGTATACTCAGACACCGGTAGAAACGCTTAGGCTGCTGATGAAGAGCAACTACCCGGACTTTTCGGAGGGACCTGTGGCGGGGAACTATACCCGCCGGGTAAGCTCGGAAAGGTGTTGGGGACTGGCACCCAAAGTGGTTGATGCGAGGAAGGTTAAGGCTGCTGTGGAATCTTTTGAGCTCTACAAATCGCCTGGTCCCGACGGCATCTACCCGGTTGTCCTAAGAGAGAGCCTGGAGGTGGCGTTGGGTGCGCTGGTGGGGCTCTTTAGAGGGTGCATAGCGGTCGGACACACCCCGGAAGAATGGCGCAAAGCCAAAGTTGTATTTATCCCAAAAGGAGGCAAAAAGGGTTATACAAGTGTAAAGGACTTCAGGCCAATAAGTCTTACGTCCTTCCTCCTGAAAACTCTAGAGAAACTGATCGACAGGTTTCTGAGAGCGGGTCCTTTGAAAGGCTTGCCCTTTCACAAGGAACAACACGCTTATCAGAAGGGTAGATCCGTGGACACGGCACTTTTATCGGTTTGCAACTACATAGAAGAGCAACTGGAATGGAAGGGCGTTTGCATAGGCGCCTTTCTAGACATTGAGGGGGCGTTTAATCGCACCTCAAAAAACGCCATACGGCGAGGTGCAGAGGAACATGGAGTGCCCGAGGGCATTATCAAATGGATAATGTCAGCACTATCGGGTAGAATTCTCAGCACTAGCTGGCAAGGTCAACAATTGGAAGGCAATGTGTCAGAAGGATGTCCGCAGGGCGGAGTTTTATCCCCACTACTGTGGTTCTTGGTTGTAGACAGCTTGTTAAAGCTGCTAAACAAAGACGGCATACGGGCTATTGGTTATGCAGATGACATTTGTCTCCTGGTCAGAGGCCCACATGAGGAAACACTTAGGGACCTAATCCAAGGGGCTCTTAAAAAGGTACTGAGGTGGTGTGCTGAGAAGGGACTTAGTATACAGGCCCAGAAGACAGCGGTCGTAAGGTTTGCGAGGAAATACAAACTCAAAAAACTGGCAAACGTTACGATCGGTCAGCTGCAGATTCCCTTTTCTGAAGAGACCAAATATCTGGGAGTCATCCTAGATAAAAAGGCTCTTATGGGGGAAACACTTGCAGGATAAATGCCAAAAGGCAATGATCACCTTCTGGCAGTGTAGAGGGGCCATGGGAGCGAAGTGGGGCCTTGGTCCACAGCAGATGATGTGGATCTACCAGGCAATCATTGTTCCCAGGCTTGTTTATGCAGCACCGGTCTGGTGGAAGCGTACTTTGCATGCTAAAGACCGCTCGCGGAATGCTGGACAAGGTACAAGCAGCTTTTCTCAGAGCTATATGCGCTGTGAGAAGAAGCACCCCGAGCGCAGTATTAAGAGTCTTACTAGACGTTCCGTCGCTGGCTTTGGAAAGCAAGGCTGCAACGATGCGAGCGGCTTACAGACTTCACTGTGTGGGTGAATGGAGAGATAGCTTCATACATCTGAAGCTTCAGAGAAGCTGTCCTAAAGAAATATGGAATATGCCGCAGGACAGGATAAAAACCCAGCTAGCTGAAGGGGTGTGTTTCAAGGTACATATCCCCAGTAGAGAGCAGTGGGAGTAAGGCTTTGGCCCAAAACATGGAAGCATTTGGTTCACAGATGGGTCAAAGACGAAGGAAGGAGTGGGAGCCGGGTTCTGTGGTCAAAAGTCGGTGGACAGCTTTGTCTACAGACTTGACAGACACAACACGGTCTTCCTGGCGGAAGTTCTCGCCATAAAAGAATGCGCGAGGGTTCTGTCTGAACGAGGTACAGGTGGAGACATCTGGATTTGCTCAGACAGTCAAGCTGCTCTAAAAGCCTTGGTTAATGAGTCTTTCTCATCCAAGCTGATAGAGGAAACCATCCTGGCACTCCAGCGAGTCGCTAGAGGGAATCGGCTCAACCTTGCCTGGATTCCAGGTCATGCCGGATGGAAAGGCAACGAAAGAGCCGATAGATAAGCAAAGGAGGGCACCACTCTATGTGGTCCTCAAGAGAAGGTAGTGGGAGAGGGAGAGCGTAAACCTCATTAAAGCATGGACAAAGCGCCAACAGGCGAGAGAGTGGCAGCAAAGCCCGGGATGCAACACAGGCAAGACCCTTATGGGCAGCGGTGTAGAAACCTGGTCGGTAGAGCTCCTGAAGCTAAGCAGACCAAAAATAAGGGCTGTTGTGGAAATCGTTTCCGGCCACAACAATCTGAACAAGCACAGATACGTGATAGGAAAGACGACATCTCCACGATGTGAAAGATGCGAGGAGGAGATTGAAGACTCCCAGCACTTTTTGTGCAAATGTGTAGCACTAGCGAGGACCAGATTCGCGGTGTTTGGGCAGACGGAGATCCATCCGGAGCAGGTTAGGGAGCTAAGTGTGGGATAGATATTAGACTTCTGCAAAGAAGGACAATATCTTCGGCAGCCCTAAGGTAATGCGGGGGGGATAGAGTACAAGAGTCTCATCGGCTAGGTGCTCTGAACTGTGCGTGCATAGCCCCTTGAGAGTACATAATAATAATAATAATAATAATAATAATAATAATAATAATAATAATAACATTCGATAAAGAAATACCATGTTATGGCCTAGGCCGATAAAAAATTTTATGAGGCAAGTAATTAGTTCGTTTTTTTCTCGCTAGGGGTATTGTTTTGACAAATTAATCCTTTTCTAAGAAATTACCGTACTAAACTGGTTTAATTTATTTATAATAAGCACTAATTTGTTTGTTTTACTGTTAATGTTTAATATTTTTCATTAAATTATTGTAAAATTAAATATGAAAAAAAACAAAAAGTGAGGTTAGGCAACCAAGAAAACGCACTATTCTTTTTCTGCGATTAAAATTATCTTTAAGTTTTAATTTGCTTTAAGTTTTCAGTGAAATTAAATGTTAAACACAGCTTAAACATTCCAAACTACCTATTTTTTAAATAAAAATCCAAACAAATTAAAATTAGATACAGGTCTACCTATGTATTTTAAATAATATTAAACAATTAATTGAATTGAATGTAATAGCAAAAATCCATTTCTACTTAAATCATGTAGCTAGGTATTGTCAAACTATAACTGCTTCTAAAAGCAATAATAATTATTGTACATTTAATGTAATATTTAGCTAATAAATAAATGAGATTCTAAAAAAGTGAGGTTAGGCCGCTTTGATGTTAAATTAAATTGACATATATAAAGTGCTTTGAAGATAAAATGTTGTATATGCCATTCGGCCAAGAAGTGCCTTTTTGTGCTTCGCTCAATTGTAGGCCTCCGCTACGCGTCGGCCTTCAAACCTTGAGCTTAGCACAAAAAGCCTTACTTCTTAACCTAATGACATAAATAACTATTATTGTTCGCTAATCTAACCGACTTTGTAGCTCCAATAATAACGATGTTAAAGCAATTATGAGCAAATAACCATGATACAACATGGCATCATGGCAAATAACGATGTATGTATCATGTACTTGAATTAAAATATATTTTTTAACGCTCGCACAGTGTTTCAATTCTCGAAATTTTCGACAAAAATCAAGGAGTAGTCGGATTCTCCTGACAATCTGTATAAAGAGGATTTTGGGGACGCTGATAACGAATCTGGAATCAGAATTCCAAAATTCAAAATGATAGATCCAAAATGGCGGACATATTTGTCAAAAAATTGACGGAATAAATTGAAAATCACCATACAGGGGTTTTTAGGGTCGCTGATAACGAATCTGGAATCAGAATTCCAAAATTCAAAATGGTAGATCCAAAGTGGCGAACATATTTGTCAAAAAATTGACGAAATAAATTGAAAATAACCATACAGGGGTTTTTGGGGTCGCTGATAATGAATCTGGAATCAGAATTCCAAAATTCAAAATGGTGGACCTCAAATGGCGGACATTTTTATCAAAAAGTTGTCAAAATTAATTAAAAACTCGTACGAGGTTCTTTTTAAAATATAAATAAAAGATTTTTTTATAAAATAGCTTAATTTAGTTTATTATAATTACATTTATTATTCAGTGTGTCGTACTTAAGATGAAGACACCCCCATATTTTCGCTATTTGAAGGAATAAAGGTTTGAATTTTTTCACATTCATACATGTTGATGGGTCACATTTTTTAAGCTACTCAACTGAAATCTGAACTTAAAACTTGGCCTACTACAAATTCACAAACAGGGCCAGAACTGGCCCTAATTAGAGATATCGAAAAAAGTTATTGGAAAAACTTGTTTTTTTATAACAAAATTCGCATTTTTAATTTTTTTTTATTTTGGTCCACACAAAATTATTACAAGTTAATTTTTTAGTTTGATAATAAGGGAGCCATGGAAAGTAATAATTTGATGCTAACTAGTGTTTATGACCGTTAAATAAATAATTAAAACAATTTTTGGAAATTACAAATCAATTATAATTTATAAAATTAAGGAAATGGTATAAAACAATAATAAAACTAATAAAAATAAATAAATTAGAAATGCGAATTTTGCTATAAAAATCGGTATACGGGGTTAGAATAATATTCTGAACAACTTTTTTCAATAATTTTTTTCGATATTTCTAACGCGAAGCAAAATATCTACAACTGGCCCCGTTTGTGAATTCGTAGTAGGCCAAGTTTAAATTTCAGATTTCAGTTGAGTATCTTAAAAAATGTGACCCACCAACATGTATGAATGTGAAAAAATTCAAATCTCTATTCCTTGAAATAGCGAAAATATGGGGGTGTCTTCATCTTAAATGCGACACACTGTATATTAAACAATCTCCGTCACTGGATTCGCTAAAAAAATTGTCAACACAAATAAACACAATTCAAATTTGACATTAACACACTATAGTGTATACAATGCGCATGCGGAGTTTTTTTAATGCACCTATAGGTATACAAGAGGTGGGTTAAATATGTAAAATCATTGTTAAATATCTGTTAATACAACAGTGGTGTACACCACTGTTGTATTAAACATTTTGAGTTAAATCCGAGTGAATCGAGTAAACGTCATGAACGCAACCCAGAAATAAAAAAATCTTATATTTTGTAAAGCAAAAACACAGATACCTACGACATAGGCTTAAAATCGCGAGGTTTTTTACCACAACCGTGCCTGAGTGCCCAAGAACATGTAGTTTTAAAGAGCCGGGCGCAAGTTGGGGCAGATAATTTATTGATGGCTTGATAGACAAAACTAAGCTATTCAACGGATCTTGAACTGATGCCTTACAATTTATTACAATTTTTGTAGCTCCATTGTTCTAAAAGCTCGATTCAAAGTTTGAGATTTTAACAGACCGATCTTGTCGGTTACGATAACCCGTTGTACACGCAAAATCTACGAAAAACACATACATATTTGAATTTTACATACCTTGAAGATCACCCTTCATCAAACCGCATAACAATCGGACACACCAAACCCAAGTTATTCACTTTTAAACAATAAACAATTTTCGCAGCGATCGCGTGTAAAGTACCTTCAACTGAAAGCGTCAAGTTTAAACTGATGTACAAGACAAAATATACGTTTTTATATAATTTTTTTTCAATACAGGATGGAGACAGGTATTAACTACCCATCTAACTCAAAATTTACCTGAAACAAAATGTCAATTTTTTAGGTTTTGCAGATATTTTCGAGAATTGAAACACTGTGGCTCGTAGAAAAAAGTTATTTATGTACCTAGTGCAAAAAATTTGTTTTCTTACTACCTCGGCCGAAAATACGTTGTTTCGTCCCCGATTCCACGGCAGAAAGTTTACGTTTGATGCATTGGTCAAATTTACGTTTGATCAGTGGCGGCTGGTGGATTTTGGGCACACCCATATCTCAGTTAATAGACATGGGACCCACATCAAATTTATATGAGTTTATAATGACATTATATAGACAAGTTCTGCGCAAGCAGAATTTAAATTAAAGTTTGCGAAAAAAAGTTAGTTTTTAAGTGCAACCCCCAGCCTCCTGCCCCTCCAAATTAAGATAATTCAAATTGAAGTGGTACAATATTTAATTCACTGAAATTTATCGATAAATTTCAAATTTTATTAAAAAAATTCAAGAATTACAGGTTTTATACCGTTTATAATTTTTATTATTTCTTTTACTTAATTTAAAAAAATTATAAATGGTATAAAACCTGTAATTCTTGATTTTCGGCCGGGTTGGGTTGGGTTGTATTTTCGGCCGGGTAGCAAGAAAAATAGTATAAACTACACGGGCAGAAACTGTGAGAGCCCTGAACTGCGTGCCATGATGTACCTATTAGGTATTTAAAATTGCCTTAACATTTCCCAAAAATCTGCAGACAGTTCTACCATAAAACACTATTGAGCTTCAACACATCCTGTGTACGAATATCCCCAATTTTAAATTTCTTAATCTTATTTACTACTATTTGAAATTCTACCTCCTTTCAAGCAATTTAAATATTAAATCCTTTAACTTCAATCAAGAAAATAGTCACAGACAAAAATCCTAGACAGAAAACACAGGACAGAATTATTAAATAATTGGACCTTTAAAAAAATTATTCAATTTTTAACAAAATTTTGTTAATATTTTAATATTTTTGTTAATATATTAATATACTATAAATTTGTATAAATTACAAATTATGTTAATTGAACATATTTGTTTACGCTTACAGGTATATTATAAATATAGTTAACAGAACTTTTATATTAAATAAAAGTATTAATTATCCTAACTTTTGAATAAAAAACCTCAGGAAGCAGTAAATACCGCCAGCTATAAAGTTTAATTCTTTGCAAGGTTTAATTATTAAATAACAAAAAACGCTATTAAACAACGCTCAAACAGGTAAATAAACAAACAGAAACTGTCAACAGTCAGGACTCCTAAAATGACGACTTCCGTCGTAAATTTATTATATTAACGGGATTCGGCAGGGTCCTTCCTGAGTTTTTTTTTAATGATCCTAACCGTATATATTTTAATACATATAGTTTAATATTCTATACCCTAATTTAATTATAATTATTAGCTGATACTGATACCAAAGTAGGTAAAAATTTTGGAGGTATACGCAAAATTAAGAAAATATTTTTTAAGTAAGACCCTGTATTTTACCACGAGACAGTGGAGTCTTAAAATTTACCAAATAAAACAAACCAATAGGTACCTTAACATTTATTACCTTACCTTAATTTGCCAGTGTCATTATTCACATCAGTTCACCTTAGTACTATATAGTGCTATGTAATATTTTCACTGATTTTATAAATTATGTTTAAGTTTACCATGTTGTGTTTTTTTTTATTGACTGTGTTTTCTAATTGTGTTTTGTGTATTAATTTTGAGTATGATAGTGAATGCGTAGAGTGCTATAACGTGAGTTTTAAATTTGTCTAAATCGCTAGAATTGAATTGTTTCAATTTTTTCTCAATTTTTAATAAAAAATGCATAATTTTTTAATTAACAACAAAATTAGGTAACATTGAATTCCTAAACAAAATTTCTTTATTCGTTCCAATGCAAAAGTACAACTTTTAATATTTTGCTTAGGGTATACAATTTTTTAAAAAATATCGCCCTAAAAAAATGTCACCCGAGGGCATACACAAATATTAATACCCGCGGTGCATACAAGCTTTTATAATAATAAATTGTCATACTAGTTTGTTAATGCATCGATCTACAATATAAGTATTAAAAAAAATCCGAAAATTAAATTAAATTTTAAGAATATTTTATAAAATGAATTCATTCATAGTACTAAATAAATAATGTTAATTAAGTAAATATTGACAAACTTTAATTTAATATCTTGTAAATTTATTCATAAATTATTTAAAAATTGTTGTCTTTATGCCCGCATTAATGATAATTATCATTATACTGTACTTGAATAGTATATTAAAAGACCTGCGATAAAATGTCTTATGACATGAGTTCTTTGTACTATTTTTTTATTTGTCAAAATTTAAGCTTAAAAGCAAATTATAATATTATTATTTGAGTATCATACTCACATAGTAGTATGTTAGGGTGAGCCAAAAAAACTAACCTATCGGATTTATGGGTTTAAATGAACCTACATACCGAGCAAAAAATTTCCCTGCAAGGCAAAATTTTTTGCTCAATTTTAAAAGGTGTCGGTGAGCATTCTAAGTTTTCCATTGAAATAACACGTAAAAAAATCTTTTTTCATTAAAAAGACTATAACTTTTGAACCGTTTGAGATAAAAATTTTTACGTCGCGGATTCTTGTAGAGCATAAAATTTCCTAAAAAAATCTACCCAGGATTATTTTTTTCAATTAAAAAATTCGTATATTTGAAAGCTTTAAAGAGTGAAAAAAATCAAAATATTCAGTTTTAGTGATTTTTTACACTTTTCAAAGCTTTCAAACATACGAATTTTTTAATTAAAAAAAATAATCCTGGTATAGATTCTTTGGGAAATTTTATGTCTACAAGAATCCGCGACGTAAAAATTTTTATCGTAAACGGTTCAAAAGTTATAGAATTTTTAATGAAAGAAGATTTTTTTACGTGTTATTTAAATGGGAAACTTTAAATGCTCACCGACACCTTTTAAAATTGAGCTAAAAATCCTGCCTTGCAGGGACATTTTTTTCTCGGTATATATGTTCATTTTAACCCATAAATTCAATAGGTTAGTTTTTTTGGCTCACCCTATAGTATGTGATATCATACTAGTATGTGATATCATACTAGTATGTGATCATACTAGTATGACAACAGTACTGTTGCCATATGGAGACAGTACGAAACGAAAATGCGTATTGTATACAATACTGTGCTTATTATGCATATTATGTTATATGTTATATAATATTATGGTAAACGAATAGAAAAAGTACAGTATTACGTACCTAGTTTGTAACTAAGCAATAAACACGCGATATTGGAGCAAAATTATGAAATAAAATTAATAAATTAAACAGGGGGAAATATGACCCCCAGTTTATTTTTTAATATAAAAAAAACACTGGACTGTCTTTTTATCATTTTCTTACAAAATATCCTTAATTATGTGTCAATCATGTAATTAATCATCAGAAACTTTTTTAATTGCTTTACTAAAATAATAATGATTTTAAAAAAATAATATTTTTTTTTCAGAATTTATTAAATATAAATATAACCTGCAGACCGCCAAAATATTACCTAAAAGGTAAGTTATTCAAGATATGCATGATATTAAGGGAAACGCATTAAATTACTATTAAAATCCAATAGTAAATGGTGTGTCATTAATATTAATATTTAAAATTCTGTAATTTACGCATCTAATAATTTAAAACGTTTCTGTCAAATTAAAATTGCAAAATATACCTACTATAAAAAGTTTGTTTTTTAGATATTAAAGAAATACTTAATATGAATGCAGACCCCCCTGTACTACATTGCGAAGAGCATAATTTAATAAATATAAAATGGAACAAAGAAGAAAGTTTAAGATATTTTTTGGAAGTTTATGACGTAGAAAAACGCCACAAGACCTATTCCGATATGGTATAAAATAATTAAAATTAATAAAATTTGATTTTTAATTTTTGAAATTTTATAGGTAAAATGTAATAATTACACCATAACAAATCTGACAGCAGATTCTGAATACCACATAAGATTATGGAGCATTTCAAATGAAACAATTTTTTCATACAGCAAAATATTAAACGTTAAAACCCCAATGAAAGATTTTTCAAAAAATACTGTTGAAAAAATAGGATTAAAAAATCTTAATCTTATAAACTCGTCATATCAAGCTGTAATACATTGGAACACTACTAAAGGTAAATAATTAAAACAAAAATATAATAATAAACTCATAATTAATTTTTTTGTAGAAAAAAATTGTTATTTTGATGTTGTCTGGTTTGAAAATGAATATTTGGAAGATTTAGGTGACTACAAACAAATTGAATTAAAAAAGGTAAATATACCAATCATTATATTAAATAGAATACTAAACAATAATATTTTAGCCATATTCACTCCATGAATTAAAATTAGACCAACTAAAAATGGGCAACACATATTCTCTAGCTATAATGACTACATCTGAAACTTCTCACATAGAAAGTGTTAAATCATGGTTTAATTTTACCACACCAAACTGTCTAGAAAGCTTTAAGTCACTAAATATGTGTGGTAAGTACTTACAAAAAGTTTATAAAGTATAAAACTTAATATGTATGTTTTAGAACCAAATACCCCATTAAATATGACTTTACAAGAAGCTATTGTGGAATTTAACAATAATATTCCAGTTTATAATGTAAAAATAAATTGGGAAACACCTGAATATTACCCTGAATATTACCTTGTTCAACTAATAACTTTTAATATGAACTCCACTGTTACAACTCTGAACATAACAGGGGTAAGTACTACAACACCAAAAATATACATGAACTGTTTTTTTCAATTATATTTACCCTACTATTTTTTAGACAGCAACAGAAGCAATATTTCTGAACACAGACCTGGGTTCAAACTACCAGGTTTCACTGACAGCCTGGTCGAAAGCCGGTTCAAGCCGACCAGCTTTTCAACACAAAATAGTGGACGCAAATAAAATCTTAATTACAAAGGCCCAAACAAACGTTAAATTGATATTGGCTATCGTTTTTCCAATTGTTGCCATTTTAAGTAGTTTTATTTTGTATTTGTTTATTAGTAAAAAGTATATGGGGAAAGATAAAAAGGAGATGAGGTGCGAATATTTCAAGGTAGGTGTATTGCACCCGGGAAAAATCTCTTTATACATTTTTATTTTTTTTTATTAAGGAAGCTGACCAGAGTATGCCAGAACCCAATGAGGAAAATCATTTTGATGAATGGGAGTTGGACTATAAAAAGTTACTATTTCAAAAAGTATTGGGTGAAGGAGCTTTTGGTATAGTCAAAAGAGCTTTTTACGAAGAAGACAATGAAGTACAAAAAGATGTTGCAATTAAAATGCTTAAAGGTAAAAAAGCATTTTTGTTTAATTTACAAAAAATTTACAATTTATCTTTAAGATTCCCCCACTCAAGCAGAGTTAAGAGAATTTTACCAAGAAATGGAAATAATGAAAATGGTAGGGTCACACCCTCATCTAGTTTCCATGATTGGTTGCATCACAAAAAATACAAACCAAGGGCCTCTATTAATTGTAGAATATTGTGCTAAAGGTGATTTGCAAAGTTTTTTGAGAAACATTTGGGAGAAAATAACCAACCAGTAAGATTTAAAAAAATACCTATTAAATATTTTTCTTACTATATGTATGTTTAGGTCTACAAGATATGTTAATTTACCAGAAAGCCAGATGCATTGCAATAATAGGCTTTATGATTTTGATAGAACTCTACAGGATGATTTTAATCTACAATCTACTGATATTATTTCATATGCTCGACAAGTTTCAATGGGAATGGTAAGTTTTTGCAAATAAGACTTAAGATTCATGAAATCTTACATTTATTTATTTCAAAGCACTTAAATAAATTAAGCATACTCAATAAATATATTATTAATTGTGTCTACGATCTTTTTATAAAGAAATTATCAAAAGTGTAATTTTCTATTTCTTTCTCATTAAGGAAAACTGCCTGGTCAATTCTGCTTTCTGGGCTGCCTTTATGTTGTAACCAATATTTCCTAAATATTTATTAAATTATTATTTTGATTATACCTATGTAAAAAGTTTAAAATTTAAAAAAATACATACATTTCATTTACTGCCTCTGAAGGCCCTTCTAAAACTCCTTCAACAGTCCCAGATGAAGAATTTTTAACCCAACCTTTTAAAGCCAAGCTATTTGCTTGTTTCTCTGCATTCTGAAAAGTAACATGTATTTTTGCACAGTAAAAGTTAGGTTAAAAAGTTTACCTTTCGAAAAAATACACCTAAAACACATTAATTTATTAGGTCATTCCATAATACTACGTTAAATACTTTACCTTGCACAATTCCAAATATTTCAAACTCCACAGAAAGTAATTTTGACATGTTCGTTATGGCTTTGTTATCTATGGTTATGGCAAAATTCGAAAATATAACGAAAAATTATAATTTTGACATAATAGATTTCTACATTACCGATCATTTCGATTTCTACATTACCGATCATAGAAGACGGATACCTATGCAATCAAATAAAAGACCGTATTTTTACCTAAATTAATATTTTATAACAATTATTTTTTTAGGAATATCTCTCAAGTTTGAGAGTTTTGCATCGAGATTTGGCAGCTAGGAACGTTTTAGTCTGCGAGGACGGTCGTACGGTAAAAATTTCCGATTTTGGACTAAGTAGGGACGTTTATCAGGATGACGTTTATTGTAAAAGTGGAGCGGGTAAATTACCCATACGATGGATGGCTTTGGAAAGCGTTACCCATCAAAGATACACCACCCAGAGTGACGTATGGTCTTTCGGAGTGTTGCTATGGGAGATTGTAACTCTAGGTGGGAATCCATATCCTGGTGTTAATAACCAGGACGTTTTGTTTTTGTTGAAGCAAGGATACAGGATGTCAAAGCCGGTGAACTGCAGTGAAGAATTGTAAGTATAAAAGATTTTCTCGATTTTTATGTAAGAATGTCATATTCTCGCACGCAAAATCGTTGAAGAATGAAGCTCATTCTTAAACGATTTTTGGTAACATTTAGTTTTTAAGTATTGGTACCCCCAAAATGTCAAACTGATTAATAACCTCAAATTCATTACTTTTATTGAAAATGAAGCCTTTATTATTGTTTTGTAATATAAAGTTTGCTCCAACAATGCATTTTAATGCAAAATTTTAAGTTTAATGTGTAAAAGTGCAGTTCAGGTTGTACTTGTGCAGGATAACAAATATTGTCATTTTGTGTTGCCAACTGACATTTTGCGAGAAAAATCCCCTAACTAACAACGACCACAAAACAATTAAAAAAACCTAAATAAAAGTTAAAATCGAGAAAATAGTATAAATCACACGTTGCAGAAGGCTATTCTCGCACTCATTCGTTCGTCCACTCGCTCCTTCGTCGCTCGAGGCCAAATTTCGAATTCGTGCGAGAATATGTGGCCTTCTGCAACTTGTACTTTAATATACTATTTTTAAATTTTTTTAATTCTTGAACGGGAATAGTATATTAAAGTACAAGTTGCAGAAGGCCACATATTCTCGCACGAATTCGAAATTTGGCCTCGAGCGACGAAGGAGCGAGTGGACGAACGAATGAGTGCGAGAATAGCCTTCTGCAACGTGTGATTTATACCATTTTCTCGATTTTAACTTTTATTTAGGTTTTTTTAATTGTTTTGTGGTCGTTGTTAGTTGGGGGATTTTTCTCTCAAAATGTCAGTTGGCAACACAAAATGACAATATTTGTTATCTTGGACACTTTTTCACATTAAACTTAAAATTTTGCATTAAAATGCATTGTTGGAGCAAACTTAATATTACAAAACAATAATAAAGGCTTCATTTTCAATAAAAGTGTAGTTCAGGTTGCACTAGTGCAGGATAACAAACAAAGCTATTATAAATAATCCTAAAAGTAATGAATTTGAGGTTATTAAACAGTTTGACATTTTGGGGGTACCAATACTTAAAAACAAAATGTTACCAAAAATCGTTTAAGAATGAGCTTCATTCTTCAACGATTTTGCGTGCGAGAATATGACATTCTTACATAAAAATCGAGAAAAGCCTATTTTTCGTACTTTTAACAAAACAACATTTCTATTTCGGTATTTTTTTAGATACGCTATTATGGCCGAATGTTGGTATGAATCTCCAAACGACAGACCAACTTTTGCAGATTTATCAAACAAATTGGAAAATTTGTTGGAAAAAAAATCGGAATATTTAAGTTTGGATGCAAATATGGAAGACACTGCTATAATTGTTTGTTCACAAGGATATCTTAAACCCATTGATAAACAATGAATATTTAAAAAATAATTTATTTAATTAAGTATTATTTATTATCCCTGCTAAAAGTAGCTGTTACAATTGTTGAGTTTAAACTCCTATCAATATAAATCTGTGTTTTTGGGTTCAAGAAAAACTCTATTCAATAGAATCTTGTTGTTCTATGAAATGTTTTTCTTGGACAAAATATATTGATAGGATTTTTGTTTATACAGCTAATTAAGGCATATAAAACTGTAAATAGCGTTAGTACAAATTTTTCTTAATAAAATTTTAAAATTTATCCTGTAGCTTTAATTTTTTAGATTAAACTGGTATAAAAAAGTTTTTAGATTAAACTGGTGAAAAAAAGTTTTTTTAATAAAACCCATTTTAAAATTTAAAAATCACTTTATTATAACATATAAATGAATTTATTAATTAATACATAGGAAAAAATATATATTTTGTAGGTAAAGCATAAATTATCTTGGTAAAGCAAACACATTACTTTATAATAAAAGTAACATTTACATTTTTTACAGTTTTTGTTCGTTTTATATCAAACACTTATAAAGTCTATTGCTTTTTAGTTTTCATAACCCAGGAATGTTTATTTTTGGTGTTTATGTATAAAATTTGTTATTCTATTAAATTTAGCACAATAAGATTCATATTATAGCTATGTAACACCTTGAATCTACTTTAAATGTTTGTTTGATATTCCCTGTTATCATGCACATTTTTATTCGAGTCGCAAATAAAAATGAACACATTGTATATATAATATCACACATCAAAAAGTCGAGTCTTCATGACTAAAGTATCAAACCTAACCAACAAAACGTCTTCATATGACGTTGTGTCTTAGGGTGGGATCTTCTTTATCGACCGGGGGCGGAGCCACTGAGACTTTGGCAGAGGGGCCTTGGGTCAAGTAACCTGCGCTTGTGGGCGTCCCTGCTGAAAATGACAGTTTAAATGCCAAACGAATAACCTTTAAAATTAAATGACTTACCCGTTAAATATCCAGCAATTGGAGTATTGGAAATAAACAAATCATGTTTTTGATCCTTATATTCCGCCCAAATTAAACTTTTCTCCAAAATCGCGTTAACCTTGTCGCCGTACATTAAGCTACGCCCCATTGATTTGAGCGCCTTGACGATTTGGGCCTTGGTCATTGCGCTGTTGTCGATTTCCAGTCTGGCCTCCAATAGGTTAAGGAGGAAGTGGACGAAATCCACATCCAAGGCTTGTTTTACCAATTGGTCCTGATTGTTGGAGAAGAGGCGGTGTAGGGCTTCGCACGCCACTGAAACCATGTCTTTGCGCACTTGCATAGCTTGTTTCAGGGGGTGCATGCACTCAGTTTGAGCTATTGCTGATACGCAAATCTGAAAGGAAAATCAATAAAAAAAGTTAGTTTAAAATTGATATATCCTAAAAGTATTATAATAACATTGTTATCATAACAAGCTAATTTTTGTTTTAAAATTCATTTATTCTCAGGTAAAATAGTACTCAGGTAAAATACTACCTATATATTTACTTATATTCAAATTGCTAAAATTACCTTGTAATTTTGGGTTGTTATAAAATGATTAAATGATTAAAAATAACGAATATGGGATATTTATGGACGAAAGAGAATACAATGAGTTAATACAAATAGTGAAAGTTTGTCCTATTCAAAAAAGGAAAATGATAACAAAGATAAACCAACTTGGCTAGGCCTGCTAAAAAGAGCCGTTACATTCTGCAATTTTTTAAGCAACAATGTTTCTTGCATGCAAGTTTTATTGCTGACTGTTATACACTTTGCAATTACAATTTTAACTTGCATGATACCAACCGAAGAAAAATGTATTAAACATTAATAATGAGATGTAAAAAAACGGTTTTTTTCAGATGCGAAAAAACCTAGAAAAAATAGTAGATTATGTTATAAGGAGTAGAAGTGACTCTTTTTGTGGTGAGTACATAGATTGACGGCCGAAGCGTAGCTGAGGCAGGCAACTGTACGAAGCACAAAAAGAGCTTCTACTCCAAATAACATATACAATTTTTTTTCAAGGGCATAATATAAATAGGATAAGCATGCTATTGCAATAGAATTATTTTATTTACTCATAACTCGTGTGGGATAAAATTTTGGCTAAACGCATTAGAAATTATTGATAAAAACTAAAAAAACTAATAAACCTTACTTACAATGCCGATAAATATCCGAAACCAAAACTAAACACTGCTCTGTCAAAATGCTGCGCTTGAATTAATTTTGACGTACTGACATTTGTTTGAAGTTTCGACATTGGCGACTCGTCTATCATCATAATATTATACTAATAAACTAGTTTTTCTTTATTTCGTTCAATTAAAATTTAATAAATAATCACTAAATATTCCGTGCGATTATAATTAATATAATTAATACATCGTGATTGCTTTGTATGAAATGCTAAATTAATTTTATTATTTGACGTTTATTGAGTCACCTATGGATTTACTTCTATCCCTAGGCTTTTTTGAGTGTTTTGTCTGCCGCTAATGAAAAAGACGCACTTCAACTATCTCTATACATGCATATAAGGTTGTATATCATGGCCGCTTGAAAAAAATAGTAGATTATGTCATAAGGAGTAGAAGCGACTCTTTTTGTGGTGAGTACAGAGATTGACGGCCGAAGCGTAGCTGAGGCAGGCAACTGTACTCACCACAAAAAGAGCTTCTACTCCAAATAACATATACAATTTTTTTTTCAAGGGCGTAATATAAATAGGATAAGCAATGGAATTATTTTATTTACTCTTAACTCATGTGGTATAAACTTTTGGCTAAAAGCATTAGAAATTATTGATAAAAACTAAAAAAACTTATAACCCTTACTTACAATGCCGATAAATATCCTAAACCATAGATAACAAAGCCTAAACTAAAAATAAACCCTGCTCTGTCAAAATGCTGCGCTTGAATTAATTTTGACGTACTGACATTTGTTTGGAGTTCCGACATTGGCAACTCGTCTATCATTATAATATTATACTAATAAACTAGTTGTTCTTTATTTCTTTCGATTAAAATTTAATAAATAATCACTAAATATTCCGTGCGATTATAATTAATATAATTAATACAACGTGATTGCTTTGTATGAAATTCTAAATTATTTTATTATTTGACGTCTATTGAGACACCTATGAATTTACTTCTATCCCTAGGCTTTTTTGAGTTTTTTGTCTGCCGCTAATGAAAAAGACGCACTTCAACTATCTCTATACAGGCATATAAGGTTGTATTTCATGGCCGCTTGAAAAAAAAAACGTTTTTTTTTCAAATCCGCTACAATAAAGCATATTCTGTCAATAAATAACGTCAATCTTAAAAAATGGAGTAATTTTTCAAAATGAAATTTTGAGAAAAATGTATACCTATTAAAAATAAAGTGAAATGTAGAATACATTAAATTTTTTATTATTGAAAATTTTGACCGAGACTAAAAAATCTGATTTCTTATTATTTGGTAGTTTCCACATAAGAAACCAATGGCAATGTAAAACTTCTACACTAATAGAAAAAGTTAAAGGATAAAAAAATCCATTTTTTTTGCGATTTTTCGGATAGCTGGTCGTATTGGAGCCGTAAAAAATAATAAATAAATTTGAAGCTTTCTAGTTTTGAGATTTTTTTATGAAAAACGTGCAACGATCAATCCTAACGAATACCGTAATAAAAAAATTCGAAATATTTTTGGCTTTTTTTTTGGTCCACGGAATGTTCTGACTTAACCACCAATGAATAAATGTTCTACAAGAATTTGCTATTGTTGTTTTGAAAAAAAAATGTCCATACTCTACATGAATTTGAAAAAAGTGCTTTTGGTAGCTTTTTGAAAAATCAAGCACTGAATCAAAAATATTATAATAATAAAAAATAATTTATTTAATTAAGTATTATTTATTATCCCTGCTAAAAGTAGCTGTTACAATTGTTGAGTTTAAACTCCTATCAATATAAATCTGTGTTTTTGGTTTAAGAAAAACTCTATTCAACAGAATCTTGTTGTTCTATGAATATGTATGTATAAGGTAGTTACTTTTTTTAGGACCAAATCAAAACAAGCGCGGGCCTTATTGGTCAAGTCGGTGGTGGTGGCGGGTGCATATCGCGTATTTACATTTACTATAGTAAAAGTCATTTAGTGGCTAATTTTAGTCCATGAACTGGACTGGAAACATAAAAAATTAGGCAAATGGGACTAATCTTGAAAAAAAACCTAAAATATGAAAAAAAATCATTTGAAAAAAAACAATGAAAAAAAACCTGAAAAAAAAAACAAAAAAAACGGACCGTTTTTTTTTCAAGTCGCATCTCTAAACATTATAAAGGACAATTAAAATTAAACTTACCTCCTGCGGCACGACATTATAATATATTATGTAATAGAATTCAGAATACAAAGAAACAACAAAAAAATGAATTAAAAATAAACCAGCGTCTCTAGGAAATTTGAAGTGTGGATTGGTATACAAAAAGATACCAACTTTTTCCCCAGACATGCATGCAATTGCGGTTAACCGGCAATAAAAATCGAGCAGGACCGATATTTTGAAGACTTGCACGAAACGTCGCTATGCGCATGCCTTTATGCAAGAGTATTGCGTATTGCACGTAGAATAGCAGACTGTAATACTATGACTACGGCAACACTGTGGACAACGATTGCTCTTCGCGCGACATTTGTAGACAGCTGACATAACAACTTGCGATTTTCTTATGTTTTATGTCCTGGGATCGGACCTTTGTACGACAATTGTAGACCCCTCAATAATCTAACTAAATTTTATGTTAAAAATAAGGTTCAGTTTCTAATTTCCACATTTGAAAATGAATAAAAAATTAATAAAACGAAGATAAAAAAAACGAATTTTTGTAGATAAATTGAAAAGAAAAAGAACCATGTCAATAAAAACGATTATTTTTTATTGTTAACCCGGCGAAACCAGAAGACTTAAGACTAGTTAGACTAGGAATATGTCTATAGTTTTACATTATTATTAGTGGCGGATAGTCAGAGACAGCAGAGGACGGTTAACCTCTGCAAAATGTATTTTATTTTACCCCAATTATTTTGATTAAATACGTTTAATAATTTAACCTACTAATTATTTTAGTAATTAAATTTACAAAAAGGGGACAAAAGTTTGCTATACCAAATCTTTTTTATTTATAATTCAAATATTATTCTTTTCTAATTTAAATGTAACATGACACCTTCAAACAAAAAAACATTGTAATGACGTAAGTACCAAATTTATTTCTATTTCAAATCACAATATATTAGCTTTGTTCGCGGAGCTTATCCATGACTAGTTCCGTATCTGTATAGGGTAAATAATCACGAACCATGATACGCATGCGCGATTCGGAACCGATCAAGAATTAACAAATCTCCGCGAACGCGTTTCTAACTGCAACCATCAGTCAGCTGTTTTGTGACAAAACTTTTTGGGGAATCTCCTTCCTGATAATTATAGTATTCAGAATTGCTAAATCGCTCTGCTAAATCATCAACAATCTCTTTGCTAACTCGAAAATGCTCCCTAAATAGCTGATCATCGAACATGGGAACAATTTCTTCAAAATATGCAGTATTTTTAGGAACTTCAATTAAATCTAAACTTCATCACTGGATGATAGATGATCACTCATCTATAAAATAAGCAAGGAAATGAACAATGCAAGTAAAAAATAGGTATTTCAACTTATGTTTTCGTTTAACAATTTAATTAAAAACAATATAGAACATATAACCTAAAATAAAGTTTAAACAATAATGAACAATACGCATGTCTGACAGCTAGTACATGCTAAAATCCTCGGATCGTTTTGACTTGTCAGTAATTAGTTCGAAACTGGTCCCGAAGGCTCCGCGAACGAGTGATCAAATGTCAAATGTTGCCGATTTTTACACCGCGAACGCTAAAATTGCCAGTGCGCATGCGCAGTTGTCGCGGATTGATCACGGATGAGCTCCGCGAACAAAGCTATTGTTATTAATTATTAAAAATGTTACTTAACCCCTTGATTCATTCAATTATGAAAATACTACTCGATTCCGATATCTAAAATCCATTAATTAAAACTAGGACCACGACGCGGGTTGCCTATCGGAGATTTTATGGGTTATTTGAAGCTAGCCTCTTTTCTGACTAAATGATTTGAGAGGCGCCACCAGCTAATTAAAAATAAAAAGGTTTAACTAAAAGTTTATTAATATTCTTGCCCCCCTGATTTTATTTCTGGCGTCGCCCATGATTATTAGAGGCTGACTTTTCTAGAAAGTTTAAAGCTTGTAATAGTATTGTTTTTGTTAAATTAAATTCTTTTTTTAATGTATTTGCACATTATTAGGGACATAACCATTTTTTTCCAATTTCGTTTGGATGGATTTAGTGATAAAAATAATTGACCCTTCGTTTTTCCTTTGCATATTTACTGTTGGTACCATATTTTTTTAAAAATATTTTACAGGGTCTTTTTATACCACCTCCCCTTGACACAAATGGTCAGATTAGCACGATGTCACGTCACAAATTTAAAAAACCAATACTGTGTATACAAAAATATTTAATTTTGGAGGAATTTAATAAAGAAAATAATTATACTTGAAAAAAGCCAAAATATCTAATTTTGGACATTTTTACGACCCTCCTATGTTACAATTGTATTTAAATGGTCACATAGATGAATCCTTGTATTCTAAAAAATGTAAAATATTTGTATCCCGATCGGCCTTTGTTTTGGAGATATCGAGGTATGAAGTTATCTGAACGTACAATAAAATTAATTGTCATTAAGTCATTTGGTCAAGAAAATTAAAACCAAATCCAAATATCCCGATCGGCCTTTGTTTTGAAGATATCGAGGAATGAAGTTATCTGAACGTACAATAAAATTAATTGTCATTAAGTCATTTAGTCATGAAAATTAAAACCAAATAATTATTTACTAGCTAGAAAACACTAGTATTGAAAGTTATTACAGTATTGCTATTAATTGTCAGAATTCGTTTCATGCAATTTGTAATAGTAGTCTGTTGGACTCTTATGCATAAAACGAATCCCAAACAAATTTTTCGAAACGTTTTAATGAAAAATATGAATTAATGGCCATTAATTCTCAAAAATCGTAAAAAATGAATTTATTAACTTTCTCAAAAACTTAAATCTTATAAACAACAGATATATCTCAGGAACTGCTTATCACAGCATTGAGTAATAGCTTGTTTTAAAGGAATTTTAAAGCCCTTTCAGATAATGTATAAAAAATGGGAATTTTTGAAAACAATTTTTTGTTGGAACACCGTTTTTAATTTTTCAAAAAAAAAAATATTTTTTTCATTTATGTTTAAGTGTGATAATTACCAGAATTTAGAATGTAGAAATGAAAAGTTCAGTTTAAAAAATTTAAAATCTTAGAAACATAAAAATAATAAAAATAACCCATTACAGGGAATTTTAGTATTTGGACAATAAAATTTAATCTTTTATCAAAATTTATTTATGCTATGCTTGAGACACCTATTTTCTCTTGTTTATAAAAATTTCAGCCTTTTCTGCCACCTCTAGATTGGAATATTTAAGAAATATCCTGCATATAACAAATATGTACAATGCAAAATATTCACGTATATCGGCGGTTTTAAAAAGAAAGGCATTGGAAATGTTTTACAGCCTTGCAACAATGACCTAAAATGATTGATTTCTTTAAAAGGTTAGTGTATGTATGTTACAATTTTAAGCATTTTACCAAAATTACTTATTTTGAGAAGTTGCGGAAACATCTTTATAATGATACAAAATTCAATTTAAAAATTGGAGATTTTGCTGAGAATTATTAATTTGTCCTTCAGGATGAGGTACAATCGTACACCATCACTAACAGTCAGGCCATGAGGTGACGGGGAGCACCATTCACCCGTTTCTGATTTATTTTAAAAACGAAATAAATTAAATTAAAAATTTAAACTACCTTTTTTTGGATTTCCTAATTCATAATACTGTCGCTTTTCATTTATTTTAAGCCATTAATCCCTGAACTAAAAAAAATCCTTAATCTTTTATTTCTCTGATGGGTACGCAGCACAATATAAAAAAAAACTTTATTAATCTATGTTACCATGAGACAGAATTTGAAATTCAGGCAGAGTGGCATTTTTTTGCCATGTTTGGGGGGTACAGTAAAAACGTTGACCAGCAAAGCCAGCCTCTATGATCAACAAATTATAACACCGGAACAACTGTATCAGGTTGCAACAGAGAACATTCCAGGAATCACTTTAAAGTTCTGCAATAGCGACAGTTATTTTTTATTTTACGAAAAGATTTGCTGAAGCGGGGACACAAAAAATTTATGCTTTGATTCCAGTTTCAGAATCCAGAATAGTAACTAAACTTTTTTCTCTCAGCATATTCAAGACCTTGTTAAATGTGCTTAAATACCAAAGTCTGGATTAAGGTTTATTAAATCTGGTTTTGTAACCATTAACTATAATAGCTCTTGGTGGTTAGCTTTTATAGGAATATGAATTACTGTGGATAAAGAACTCAGAATACCGTTACGGTTAAAAATACTGCAAAAGTAAATGATATCATAATTGGAAAGAATGAAGAGTCAACGAAAATTAAAGTTAGTTTTTTACATCCGAATGGACCAGCAAATTATTTTTATTATCCAAAACCTAAGGCAAATATATTGATAATTCATAAAGATACAATATTGAGAAAAGTTCAGCCTGTTACTGGTACATATTAAACTTATACCTTATATCAAATAATGTTGAAAACTTCAAAAATTCTCAAAAAAGACAAAAAACTAACTAATTTCCATTTGCTATTTAGTTTCAAAAATAATAAAAAAAATTAAAACAAAAAAATAAAGTTATTTTTATTTGTTTTTATACCTTATATATTTTTTCGTTGTAGCTTTAAGTTAATATATTCATAATATGTTTTATTTATAAAATAATATGTAGGAATATTAAAAAAAAAATATTACAATTAATCAATCATTTCTTCATTCTAAATTTTGGTAAATAAGTAGCTAAAACATTAATAAAAAAGATATTTAAAAAAATGGTGTTCTTGAGAAATTTACAAAAATTCCCATTGTTTTTTTAAAGAAGTATATCATGTGATACATCATCCGAAAGGGCTTCTAAAGACCTTTAAAACAAGTTATTACTCAATGCTCTTTGACGAGCAGTTCCTGAGATATACCTGTTTTTTAAGAGCCTGTAGAGGCAAATTGGTAAATTTCTTGATTTTCAATAATCTGTAAAAAAAAAACCACTGTTTAAAAAAAATAAAATTTGGTTTTTCGAGTTTTTCAATGGGAAGAGCAACTGTACCAAAAATCATCAAAATCGAACGTGGTGCCTTCAAAACCTTTGGTTGATTTGATATGAAATTACCTTTCAGCGCCCCAAATTACCAGGTCCAAAATCGTGTATATTTGTGTTATTATATAAGATTTTGTAATTCCTAACTAATTCAATAATATTCTGGACTATAGGACAGCTGAAGGACATTCTTAGACAGTTTTAAGAAGGCTTTCGTACTTTTCTAAAATTGTATAAGGTGACATTCTTTAGTATGTTTTACATTATTATATAAGACATTGCAATTCTTAACTTATTAGTTAATATTCTAATACTCTTTAAATACTAAACTAGACACTTACCCCGCTTAACGACAGCGAATTTAATATACAAATAGCCGATTTTGGTATTGCAATTTGTCTAACATTTGACCCCATCTGTCTACATAATCTAGGAATGTGCCCCATTGAAGGAATCAAGTCCAATAAGGCAGGTTGAACTTGCAATAACGAACAGAGAGCTGTTGTGCAAATTTCCAATTGTTCAACCTAATAAAATACTTTGTCAATTTTTTATTATAAAAAATGCAAGTGTAACTTACGTTGGTTTTGTCTTTTGCCATTAGATTCAGACACGTTTCCATTAACTCCGACAAAAACTCTTTCGGTTTTCTCAACGTCCAGCCAGGATTCGCTATAAAAATCCTCAAATAAACCCCTCCAACCATAAACTCGTTGGGTTGGCTCAAATTCGACACTCCATTCGTATCGGGAATCTTCCAAACCGCTTGTGGGTTTTGGCTTTGCAGTGCTTGATGCCTAAAAATTCAAAAAGAATATTATAAACACTTTTCGTAGGATGGCAACACCGCAAGCACTCACTCTCTGCGCAACCTGGCAACGCTGGCGCACACTCGGTCCTTAGCGTCTTGATCCCAAATCAGCTCGGGGTGCTCATGCGCGGACTCGAACATACTGACAGCTGTCTCGGGCGATTCGCGCATGGCATCTGCGAAAATCGGCGGAAGGAACGCCCCTAACGCTAACTTAACTTTGGGACCGACTAATTTATCATTATTCATGCGCGCGAGTAATTCCGCGCACGTTTGCCTTATGCTGTGATTGGTGGAATTACAGAACAAATCCAATAAATAGATTACAGCTCCTTTGCTTAACGCTTCCTTCACGATTTTCGTTGTGGACATTAGTTGATATAAAGTGTCCAAAATTATTGGTTGCGAATCCTGGAGGCTATACAAGATAAGCAACAAATGCCCCAATACATTACTTGCAGCTATATCATTGATACATTCGTTATTTCTAGTAACCACTGATACGACGTTTAACGCTCCTTTCTGTACAGGCGCGTGAGTGACATTTAGTAACTTGAACAACACCTGGAAGTGCCCGATGCACTGCATCTCCACCCCGGTGTTGTTCCTGATAACATTCGTTAGCGCTTCCAGCGCCATCTCTGAATGTTTCAGGCGGTCTTCTTTGGAGACAGAAAACGCGACATTTACAAGATTCAGCAGGAATTCAGAGGTTTCGTTTAGGAATGTTAGAAGATCGTTTGTAAACAGTTTTGGATCCTAAAAATACGTTAAGTTACTTAACCAATACTGTTAAATATAATCCAGGAAAATTAGTTATTCACATGGAAAAAATTAAATACAGGCTGGGAATTTTAGGTTCAACTTAGTTTTAATCTTATAAATGTCATAAATTTTATAATAGTATATTATTAAAAAAGAGATAATGCAGGCTATTATTTACGAGTTTGCCAGACGAGACACTTTAATCATGCGAGTGAATAATGCGCATAATCTCGAGTGTAATATTATACTTAATACTATACTAAATGATTTTTAAAAATAACTAAATAAAATCTGACATCTGTTAATCTTACTTTTTAAAGTTTATACCAATTTTAAATGTTATTATAGTCGCCTTTTCCTAATTTAAAACCCGATTGGTTCAAATCACATTGCATATTGAAATCGGAAAATCACTGATGCCCTGAGGCAGGGAATTTATAATGTTTATCATTATTCACCGAAAAAACAATATTATACAATAGGAGTACCTATATAAATATTGTTTAAATTGATGCTATTAGAAAAAAATATACAGAACCTTTTTTTCTAGAGCTTAACATTTTCTATAAAAATATGTCCAACATATTGTTGCACTTCTATTTATTAATAAGTAATGACTTTTCCCTATGTCATTAAAATTTCATTTAAAAAGGGTTTAGTCGATTTCATACAGCTGCGAAATGCGAATTGCGAAAAACGTTTTTATTGGTCCATTTGATTTGGCGGGAAAAGAGTTTCGACAGATCCTGCGAATTTGCAAGATTTGAAATCTAGGGGGCGGGAGATTGATTCAATATTTTGCGAAAATCGCACTAATTTGGCGTAATGCGCATGCGTTTTGCATGCACATTAATTCAATTGCTTATCATATGTTAAGTTTTATTCGAATTTTTTAAATGAATGTTTTTTTTTGTTTTTTATAATACAAAGAGATTTTGAGGTACATTAATGTTTCTTATTTTAACTTTTCCTACTCCCACCTTTAAAACGCCCATTGTCGTACATGTTTCCATGACTTTTGTCATGTACTTTTAAATACACATTGAAAAGTTGTGGCCTTATGGCGTTTATGGCGTTTAATACCAACTAATTTATAAGGGAATATTATAAGTTGGGATGTTAATAAATAAATATTTTTCACCAAAGCAAAATATAGACATTTTTTTTGGAGAAATAAAATTTCCTCAAAATGATCGGTTGACCTCCTAGAAACATAAATTGAAAAAAAAATTCTAGTGTTCGCACTTTTGGGTTAAACGTATTTTCAACCTACCATGCAATATTTGAAAAGTTTATATGAACATTGTACTGAACTCTAATTCGGGCTCGGACTCGGACTGTAAAGTGCTCATAAAACATTTTCTTTACTTTCACTGTGTTGTTAATCCATTTTCAAGGAATACATTTCGATTTATAACTCTAAACAATTATTTAAATCATTTTATGATAATAATAAGTATTTGTCATAGAAATAGTATGGTATGCACCTCGTTTATAAACTTTTCTATACACTCATTAATTTAAGCACTCGCTGTATAAAATGGCATTTATCAAACTTGATACAAATGGTCACTCTTACAAAAAAGTACCCAAGGACCTTTTTTGTTGAGAATTGACGTTCAATGGGAAACTTTTACACATTCATAATTGAAACCAAGCTGCCGCTAAAGTTTTAGTCTGTATCTAATTTTATCCAAAGAAATTTATGTTTAATTGGTTTAATTTTCTTTTTTTTTGTACTTACTGCTATTTGATACGTTGGTTGTTCATTGTAGATTCTTATAAATATTTCGCCTATTCTTAATTCGCCTTTGTGAGCAGAATAGGCAAAATCGTTGCTTATTGCCAAGTCTATATGGCCCCTACCACTTCTCTGGGTTTCCAAAAAATCGATTAACTCGGCTCTAGTACCATTATCCCACACTAGATACGGGGTTTCACTATTGCTGTTTAACGTTTTCAATATCTAAAAAAAAAAAAAATAGTGTTCTTGTGAATAGGTACTACAAATCTAACATACCACTTCAGGTTTCTCATCCTGCAACTGGTTTGCCAAATACGGAGTCAGCAAACAATTCAAAATATTTCTGGTTAAATCGTTTCTAGGCGGTGGACTTTCGCCGGGAACGTACCCGCCCAGTGCTGCGCATGCGCGCACAGCTTCCTTGGCCAATCTGTTGCTAACTTCTTGTTGGTTAGCGTCCTCGCTGCGCTCAACTCCGCCTTCGTCCAAAGTGAAGTCATAATTAAACGTGAAAAGTAGTAAATGCCAGAGGGCGCCAGCTTTAAGTAGTTCTACTTGAAGAATACCGTCTATGGAGAGAGCTGATACGCATTCGGTGGCAACAGAGCACAGTTTGGTCAAGTGCTGCAAGAAATAACAATGTTAGGAAATGTTTGTTATGGCAGCACTTTTTACCTTAAAGTGTAGTATTCTGCAGAGATCTATAATTAACTGTTTTAAATCCAAAATTTTCTCTCGACAACCTGGAAACTGGGCAGCCACACTGAAACATCTTGTTATATGCATGCTGACTTGCACACTCGTTTCATTAGGTTTGGATGAATTGTTTACTACGTTTACACAACGTGTATAGGCTTCCAATAAAACCTTAAAACAATATTATCATTTATTAGTGCAAGACATGGAAAATACTATTTTTTACCTCCAGGCCGTTTTCTCGTCTTAGTTCTTCTGCGTTCAACGCAGAACAGTGCACAGTGTGATATGCTAACTCACTAGCAGCAGTGAGCAATGGTGCGCTTTTCGAAAACAATTGTTCGTCTGCAGTTTCGATTTTGATTGTCTTTATTAATTGAGGGTAGCCGGCGTATTTGTAAGGTTGTAAAACTGTAAAAAATAATTATTTTTAGAGGTGGTAGTCAAAGATTTTCTTTGGTGGTAGACAATAAATTTTCGTAATATTTTTAGGTTTGAAATATAACTTATGACTTCTGTTTTTTGGATATTATAAAAATGTTGACTAAATTTCAGGGGGTCATATTATTAGCTTGTTTTTTATAAACAGAAAACATTACTGACGTTTAGGGAAGGACGAAATTTTATGCGATGAAATATTAATTTATTTATAATAGAACAATATATTTTAGTGTCACATTGTATTAAGTTAATTTAACAAAATTATTTTTTTTTTAATAAAGTATTTTTGATGGAGAAAAATAATTAAAAAACATGTTTTTGCAGATTTGGCCACGACTATAATAACTGTAAAGCCTGATTTATAGATTGTCTTCCTTCCTTCCTCCCTTCTTCCTGTAAAAGATGAACAATACGAAAACCGTAGTGTTGTTTTTAAAACGTTCTTCAAAAAATTATGAAACCATTCACTTAGTAATTTTTGTGTGTGCCAGTTGCTAATAGCTTAAGACTGGCGCGTACCGTTTAATATTACTGATGGGCAGAGATCGGCAATAACGATTTTTTTGCCAGCGATATGGATATTTATTTGTGATTATTTTGATATTAATGATGTAATAATGTAAATTATTTCGAAATTGATTATTATTTTTATGACCGTTATTAAGCTTTCAGACGACTAAAAATTATGAAATCAGCTTTTACCAATTATTTTTATATTTAGGTCTTTATTTAAAAAATTACTTATACCAATACATATTTTCTATTTATTTAAGTACTAAGTGGTACGCCATTATTTATTACTTAGATAGTGAGTAATAGATTATAGAATGATTATTAATTATTAAACTATTCAATAATTATAACCCGAGTTATAACCAAACCTTTTGCTAATTATTTGAATATGAGTATGAGTATAAGAGACGTATAACCGGCCCCATTGCCTCATCGCTCCCGGGCCCCGCAGAGACCTCTGTTTCTTTGCGCCGATTTTCTTTCGCTACCAGCAACGTCGCAGCTTCACCCGTGTTTGCCGGTTGCGAATGTCCATTGCGTCCCGTACTGTCCCCTAATTAGTGCTCGAGAGTGAAATGCCAATAGTTTTAGTAGCCACTCCCGGGTTCGCCGAGCCGATGCTATACGCCCAGAAAGGTCATGAAGGAGGTAGGACGGAAGGGATAGACAGTTTGCTGTTTGGGGGACAATTACGCCGACTTAAATCTAAGTAGACGCGGGATCCCCCTAGACCGGGAAGTTAGTATTACTCCAAACATTTGGGATTACTGTTTGGAGTTGGGAGTTGTTAGTTACTGGTCGTGGTCAACGTCTTGACCGTTATTGTCTCTGTCCGTGTCGGGTTGTCCTGCACTTGTTATTGTCTTGTCTCAGCTGTTTTCTTTCGCGTTGCAATCGTATCTTTGTATTAAACAGTTGGTGTGCAATTGATATGATTTGACAGTTACCGGTGGGAGGTATTTTTGACTTCCAGTGTATACTAATGTAATTACCAATTCCAATCCAATCTTTTTAAACAAACTAGAATTTTTTCCAATTTTTCTCATAGCGACTAATATCGTTTCTGAACCTTCTTAATCAAATATGGCGGCCGCCGTAAGATTGCCTACAAACTCAATGATATGGGTTTCAAATAAAAGGATTTGACGAGTATAAAACGATAATGTGGGTAATTTTTTTTTTCAAATTACTGAATTTTAATATTTCTCACACTAAACTCACAGATACAGATTAGAAAGTTATGAAGTCATTGTGGGAGGGGCTAATTGAGCATCTCAATCTATTGTTGCCACATATTGCCAGAGTGTTTTTATATTGAACAAAACTTATTATTAAGGTATTATTAAAAAAGCATTAATAATACCTCTTAATGAGATTTTTGTATATGTATATGTATATGCACAACGCTGACGGCCCAGGCACAATCTATCTCTCGTGTATTCTTGACTGTTTATAGCGGTGGGGGGTGTTTATTAAGATTCTTTAATAAAAAAAACTAATACAAAAATCAAAACATGTGTTTACCTTCAGAGTACCTATGGAATAATATACTTTGCGTTTGCAAAACTAAAACTATATTGTGTGGATTTGGTCCGTCAGTGGTCCAACTGCTTCGACTGCACAAAAATTCGTACGCCTGGTTCACCAACTCGAAACGCTCCTAAAAGTACACAATTCAAAAAAATAACGTTTAATAAAATAATCAAGCCAAAGATAATCATACCCTTCCGTCAGGATTTTTATCTGGATGGTACATTTGGGCCAATTTGTAATACGCTTTTCTAATTATAGATTCTTCATGATGAGTTCCTTGAAGACCTAAATTTTTGTATGCTTCTTCTACAGTCATTAGTGGAGGTTTTTTTTCAACTTCAGACCTCCACGCATCCAAAACGTCTTTTAATAACTTAATCTACAAGAAACAATAACTTTAATTATGGCGATTGTGTCGCAATAATTAAGAATAATGTTAAATTAAATTAAAATTAGGAAATGTTTTAAAGAAATATATTTCAAAATCTCAATATTACTTACTGGATCTGGTATGGGCCAATCAGGGAACTTGTTAGTATCACATAAATGTCTCAAATAGAAAATATTGCAAAACAGTTCCCTTTCCAACTGTGGATACCTAATAGCTGGTATAGGTATATAAAGGTACCTTGCCATGGTATGACTTCTCAACCTAGGCGAAAAATCGGCTATGTGTGCTGCAATTTTCTCTATTAACATCCTCCTAAAAAATGTAGTTAATAATGGAATATTTTTTGATTTAATGGTGTTTATTTAACCTCATTTCAGAGTTCCATATGGCTTCAGGTGTATCATATTCGCCCAGATAAATTTGGGCAAACTTTTCAGCACCATGGTTTTCCAGGTAGTTAATCATAGCTTCTGGTAATAGTCTACCTAGTATGCTTTTTTGGACTATATCTGAGGTTGTATTCTGTTGTAAAAACCGATTAATTATAAAAACAAAAAATGGCGCATTCGAATTAAGTATTTAATACACTCCTCCAAGAAATTAACGCACCACCAAAAAATAACCAAAAGTTTTAAGTAAATTTTTGTCAAAATCAATTGTCCGATTTGAACGTTTTTTTTTAAATAATAGGTTGTCCGTTTCACAATGTTGGTATACTAACTGTATTCCGATAGAAACCTCTTTTTTACAAATACCGGGTGTAGCTATTATAGAGTGTTTTTTCATAAAATTTGTAACACCCTGTAAAGTTAAACAGCTACAATATCAAGTTAGAACTGAAATGAAACTTTAGCCTTATCTTTTTTTTTACATTTTGTTTTTTTATTTACTCCATTATCGGGGGTAATTACACAAGTGCTTAAAAATTATCGATAATTTTGCTTGAAAGCATATTGCCTTTTAAAAAATGCATTCGGTCATTTTCATATTTTGAAGAAAGAGCCCTCCACCTTCGGTGTCGGGCTCTTTCCAAAATGTTTAGATAATTACACGTAAAACTTATTAAATAAAGAATAACATTTTCAAATATTTCATTTAACATTATTCATTAATCGATTCAAATGATTCTTTACCAAAACGTGACATTTTAAGTAACTGCCACATTAAAATAAAAACTGAAGTTATTTTTATTAATTTCCATGGATACGTAGATACAATGGAATTATTGATTCCTAGTAGACAATTATCGCTGTAATCAAGCGATAATTGTCTTGTAGGCATATATAAAAGGGTAATTATCTTTCATATTACACGAGTGACAACATTTTATAGGACAACATGATTTTATTGGTTTTAATCAGCATTTTACTCACTAAAGTAAGTCAGGCTATGGAAAACACTAAATGTCAAATTCTGATGCCTATTGTCAGTATCAATCCTTTTATCGATCAATATGCATCTTACTCTCGAAGAATGTGCCCTAGCATTAAAATTGTTTGAGGAAGGTTGGAGCTACCAAGAATTTGTAAACGATTTAATGTTACTCACACAACCATTTCACGAGTTATACAACGAAATAGAGAAACTGGAAGTAATGGTCACAGACCGGGACAAGGAAGGAAACGAAAAACCACTCCGATTCAGGAACGGTTTTTAAGACTCAGCATTAAGACAACGTTAGGTAACAGCTCGGACCCTCCAAACTCAGCTTCGAGATGCTAATGGTTTACAAGTTTGTACAGAAACTGTTCGTCAGCAATTAAGGGAGCATAATTTGAGACCTAGAATTGCTGCTCGAGGTCCATCTTTAACGAGAGTTCACCGAAGAGCAAAGATAAATTTTGCCAGGGAGCATTGTAACTGGTTAGCGGCTGAATGGCAACAGGTATTATTTACGGATGAGTCCCGAATTTGCTTGTACAATAATGACAGGCATATGGTTGTATATCGACGCCCTAATAAAAGGTATGCTCAGTGTAATTTCTCGTATACAACATTATTTGGAGGAGGATCTCTGATGGTCTGGAGTGTATTTCTTTGACTGATCGCACGGAACTTGTCATCGTAAATGGTAGCCTTACAGCTGAAAGGTACATACTGGAGGTGGTAGACCAACATGTATTGCCATATGCGCCATATATAGGGCAAGAATTTTTGTTGATGCAAGATAATTCCAGGCCTCACGATGCTCGAGTTGTGAGAAATTATCTAGAGGATGTCGAAATCGCTACTATGGCATGACCAGCTCGGAGCCCGGACTTAAATCCCATAGAGAATCTTTGAGACACTGTTGGGAACAGATTACAAGAAGAACGCAACGTGAACACTTTGGAAGACGTACGGCAGAGACTTATTTGAATATGGGAAGAACTAGATCAAAATGACATAAGGTCTCTAATTTTATGTATGGGCCGTCGTTGTCAAGAGTGAAAATACTCGTTACTGACACTTTCGTTTCAATTGGTTTGTTAAATCGTTTTTTCTTGTTAATAATTTGCAATAAAATCATGTTATTATTATATAAAATGTTGTTAATCATGTAATATGAAAGATAATGGAGTAAATAAAAAAAATGTAAAAAAAGACAAGGCTAAAGTTTGATTTCAATTCTAACTTGATATTGTAGCTGTTTAACTCTCCAGGGTGTTACAAATTTTATGAAAAAAAACGCTATAATTGCTACACCTGGTATTTGTAAAAAAGAGGTTTCTATCGGAATACAGTTAATATAGCAACAATGTGAAAGGGACAACCTATTATTAAAAAAAAACGTTCAAATCGGACAATTGGTTTTGACAAAAATTTACTTAAAACTTTTGGTTATTTTTGGGTGGTGCGTTAGTTTCTTGGAGGAGTGTATAACCAAATGTATTTAAACTATAATTATTTAAACATTTTATAATTTATAAAAAAATACTTACATCATCTGACTTAAAAGCCTGCTTCATATGCGTCAACTGTAAAAACCTGGCGATCGGCAAAACATTACTACCAGTATACATAAGTATAAAGTAAAAAACCCCGGTCAGATACAGCTTTGAAATATCGGGGTTATCTCTCATAAGCTCGCAAAGCAGCGTTGCCACCTTTTCCACCAGCACGGGATCGAACGTCAACAACAGCTGAACAATATGCGATAAGGTCACCGGATCTGTGAGAAGGCTTTTCACTTTCGGTAACGGCCGTATGATGGCGTCATCGTAGTCTCTGCTCGGAAAATACTGGCACATTTTTATGAGGATGTTTAGTACGTAGGTTGCCAGTTCGCTCTCGTTCAGGACGGGGGCGCCACGTGCCAAGAGGCACCATTTTAGTTGGGGGAGCAGGTTGAGAGGGCGCCACCCGTCCAAGGCCATCGCCCAGCAACGGGTTTTGTGGTTTATCACGTTCTTTTGGAATAACTCTTTGATCTGAAGTAAGACATTTTTATAATGGATATAGTATATTAAAAAACAAATATGATAAGACGCCATTTTCTCGCGATAAATTTCATATTTTTTATATTTTTTTTTATTGAAACTAATAGGAACATTTTTTCTTACCTCTTGAAAACTAACAGGGCCCTGCCTGCCTTCCTCGGTATTATAGTACCATTCTTTCTGTTGTATGGCGCTCATGCCAGGTCCAGCTTCGATGACATTTGTTTGTGTTGGTATCATTGCACGGGACGTGTGCAGGTGTGCCAACGTCATCAAATCCACCAGGATTTTAACCCCGCCCACGTCGATTATCTCCCTAACATTGCGTCTGTGCAGTATGAGTTTGTAGATAAACATCACTATTCGGTCGCGTTCGGTTTTGTCTAAACACTGCAAAATATTATTAAGATATTTAATAGGTAATTTAATAATTTTATTTTTCTATAAAAGTAAAATTACTTACCCTATCCAACATTCCCATCATATACTTAGTATCACCAAAAGGTCCAATATCTTCAAAATACCTTCCATAAACTATTGCCATTGCTTGTAAGCACATACATTTCATTTCTATTTTAGGATTTAGTAAAAATCTGTGGTACAAATCGTTAAAAAACTCATACCTACAACCACATTAAAGAATTAAAACAGTTTAAATAAATTTTAAGTTTTACCCTTGCGAAAAAAATGCATAAATTTTGGGCATTAATGCCTAACTTAGGCATAAATGCCAAAAATTAGGAATTAATGCTGAAAAGTTAAGCATATATGCCTAACTTGGGCATTTATGCCCAACAGTTAAGCATAAATGCCTAACAGTTAGGATTGTATGCCTAACTTGGGCATTTATGCCTAACTGTTAAGCATAAATGCCTAGGAGTTAGGATTGAATGCCTAACTTGGCATTTATGCCCAACAGTTCAGCATAAATGCCTAAGAGTTAGGATTAAATGCCTAACTTGGGTATTAATGCCCAATAATTTAGCATAAATGCCAAAGAGTTAGGATTAATTGCTCAAAAATTTGGTATGTGAATTCAATGATTCAATGTGTTGAGATTAAATACCTATTTTGGGCATATATATGACTGGTAGATGCTACTTTTTTGTCTAATATGTAATAAGTAAAAGAACATATTCAAAGACCAAGCTCATCCTCCTTCGGACATCACATTAAAATTTAATTTAAATACAACTCCCACTCCTTCCGCCCAGCATCGAAGGCAAGAATCATACATAACCTAAATCTCAACAAATACAGCCTTAAACTAGACCTATTTGAAGATTTGGAAATATCCAACTCATTCAAAAATAAACCTGAACAATGCTTGAACTCACAAATTAATTTAAATAGAAATTTAAACCATTATTTAAACATTTCCTATAAGCATTTCATGATTGATGATGAAAAAAAACATTTATTGATTCCGTCCTCCCCCCACCATTGCTTATTTTTTAAATAACGTTTTTGAATTGTAACTACTGTATTTAATTGATTTTTTTAGTTAAGTTAATTTAAATTACCCGCTAATTTTAAGATTATGAAGTTGGCACTAGTTAAACGTCAAAATTAACGTGGTTTTTCTGTAAAAGATAAAATGTAAAATTTGTTATGTTAAATTCCCTTCAGGGCTATATGTTTTTCAACATGTTCACTCCTACATATAAATGTAAGCTCGCCTTGACAAGTAAGTAAAAACTTTTAACCCACCTATTGAAACTAATGTTTACTTACTTTTTAGGGCTAGCCCGGATGATGTCATTAGATTAAATGACGAAAGCGCTTGGCTACTCATTTTTTTAAAATAAATATACCGACATACAAAAATACACCCCTTTTATTAAATGAATAGTTTTATTGAATCGATTAGGCATAATGCCTAAGTTCGGCATTATTCCCAAGTTAAGCATAATGCCTAAGTTAGGCATTATTCTCAAGTTAAGCATAATGCCTAAGTTAGGCATTATTCCCAAGTTAAGCATAATGCCTAAGTTAGGTACTCAAAATCATGTCTAACTTTTTAGGCATTAATGCCTAAAAGTTAGGCATTAATGCTCAAAATTTAGGCATTTTTTTCGCAAGGGTAGACAGTGTTTAGGACATTTTATGGTTGAGACATGCAATTTTTGTATTAAATTGATTATTAAGTTTTTTTTCTCTACGTTTATTAAACAATTTTTGAGAACGCTAAAGCGTTTTAAGAAACGCAAGATTTATCACGCTTAGATGACCTTTAACAGAGCGCGTGACGTTACTATGTTAACATATTTGTCAAGAATTACGAATGAATCCAACATCTGTTTTTAGCACGGTCATATTATTAATTCTCGTACAATAGGCCAAACTAGATTATGTTTACCTAGTAACGTTTGCTGTTTGAGATTAGGTCAAAAAACCGAGCGTATGTGGATGTATTCTGCCAAAGTATCGCAAGCAACGTAACTCAAATTTCGGGAATTTAAAACATTTTTTGTCTTAAAGTTTGTTTTAAATTAAATATAGCATAAAGCATTTAGACTTTAAAATAAAAAATGTTTTCAATTCCCGAAATTTGAGTTATGTTGCTTGCGATACTTTGGCAAAAAGTCATCGATATATAAGACCGTCGTTTCTATATTCTTTAAATTATTTAAATCGTTTGAAATTTGAGCTACTATGTCATGTCACCTTTATTGTACCTCATTTTATTTAAAAGAGATACAAGAAAACTAGTTTGTACACATTTCTCGATGTTAATACATTCTTCTGCCATTATATTTTATTAAAGACATAAAAAAAAACAAAATTTGAAAACAAACCCTCAGTTTTTTGGGCATTTTAGGATATTTCAAGACGATGATTTGGACAGTTTCTGGACATTTTGGACAATTCAAACATTACTTTAAAACTTTTTAAGAACAGTTTAGTTTTATACTTACTTTTAATATTCTATGAATGCAAAAATAGAAAAATACTACTTACGTTTTTCTTATAGGTGAATCACTGTTGTTGTCGTCCATTTCCAAAAGCAATCTTAAGTAGTAATCGCCGATTTTTACCTCATCTGCTAGACATTGGTAGTTCAGCTCAAATTCCTGGTGATTCCAGGCGACCAGAGCTGAACCCGCTAGCTCGCGATCCGACGCGAAGTTCCGAACTTCGTTTTCCAAGGCACTTCGTAGCTCTTCTCTTGTCTAAATAAAAGGGGGTCAAGAATAAAGTTTTTTATTGTATTATATCCTACAAATAATTATAATTAAATACAAGTCATATTCTTACCTTATGGTTCCATATTAAGTTAGGAAGCGCATGATCTTGATTAAACTGAAAATAAAACAAGGACCAATTGGCTTCCGCCTTAATCCTCTCCCTTCTCCTTCTTAAAACAATGGGCCTCTCCTTATTACTCTCCTGTTTTTGTTGCAAGGTTATACCTATTCTTGCGCCCCAATGCTGCATAGCGAGATTTGTATAATGCTCCATTCGTTTTTCCACGAGCTTCAATTGCCTTTCAACGGCGACCCAATTCGGGTTTCTTTTAGTTTTGTTCGCGTCGTCTTGAGCTATTTTTAGGTTGTCTCTGTGGTTAAGTAATTCTTGCTCCTTGGCCGATTCCGGAATTTCGTCCTTAGAATCCAAAAAACTAGTTAAACCAGTCGGCATTATTCTTTTTAAGAGGCCCATTGCTGTGGGGTTCCCCGTTATCCAGAGGCCTATCAGGTGTCGAGACAGTTGCCTGACAAATCAAACAAGGAAGATAATTATAAGAAGACAGAATAAAACTATTATCTCTGCTTTTTTAAGGGGTTTAAAAGGTTTACCAGCCCGGCGCGCCGCCGCCCTTCTCGAAAGTATAGTTATCATAATTCATGATAATGTCACTTGAAGTAATAATAAGGACACTTCAATATACACCAATGGATTTGTTCAAAAATCACCATTATTCATTAATTTTTTTTCGTGATCGTACGGTTCAGACAAAACTCCCTTTTTTAATAGAAAAAAATACGTTTTCCGTTTTCTCTACTGGATCGAATTGAATGTTTTTATTTGGTTGGTCCATTATTGTAAATAAAATAAAAAATAAAACATTAAATTCCATCCAGTAAATCCTGAGAAGAATTTGATGGAAAACTTTAAAAGGGTGATTTTTTCTGACCCGAAAAGCAATAAATATTGGTGATTTTTAAAAATTTTATCATTACTTCATAAACTACACCATTTCGAGAAACGCTAAGCGGACAAACCTTTACTTCTTAACATAAAAAATGTTACGTCTCACGTTAAATAACCTTTAAAAAAAATAAAAAAAACTTGCCTGTGTGTTAGTAGGCGGCCGTCCAAGCCAGTGGTGTACAGAGCTGCCAATAGGTGGCGTGGTAATGCGCCCTCGGCGAGCGCCAAGTTTTGCATTCGGGCGGCTACTTCTGATTCGCCTTCTTCTATTAAAGCACGCATCACGAGCCCGGCGCCTTTTACTATCGCCATTGAGGGGTGCTGAAAAGTTTCAAAACTTTTCATATGGTTGCTTTAACCATTTGTTTTTATATTTGTTTGGGAAATTTAGTATCACTCGTAAGTCATATAGGGTGGTCGTCAAAAGCTTCTTTTTGATAAAAAAACACTGGGATTTTTTTTTAATTAAAAACAACACGTGCCTCAAGACGATCTAAGTTAATATTTTGGTATAATTATGTTTTTTTGGGAATATTTTATGAAAAATAAAATTTTATTCGAAATATAAACAATTATAGAACCCAAATCAATAAAAAAACAATAGTTAATCGAAATAACAATAGACAAAAATTTAAATTCGAAATTTTTCCCAGTTGATTTGGTCTATTAAATAAAAAAATTAAATTTAAATTGATATTTTTATTTTAAAACTAAATTAGTACAATCGTAATTTCTTCACTCCAAGGTGAAGTTATTTCATTTTTTATAATTTTTAAATCTCAAAAAAAATATTATTCCATATTTTCAGAAAAGACCAAAAAATTAACTTAGATCGTCTTGAGGCACGTGTGGTTTTTAATTAAAAAAAAAAATTCCCAGTGTTTTTTCATCAAAACGAAGCTTTTTAGAAAAAAAAGAAAAATTTAATTTTTAACCACCACCCTAATATATATATATATGACTGCATCAGTGTGTGCATACTATTCGCGCAGGCTACCGATCGTATTTGCATAAGTAAGAGAGATAAAAATAAATCAATCCAATATGACCACCGCCGCCGTAAGGTGGTTTGCCTATTTTTTCACAACCTTCTTGATTTAGGTATCAAATGAAAGGCTTTGGCAAGTAGAAAACAACAAAGTGGGTAAAAATCTTAAATATTTCCAAAATTTTCATAATTTTTCAATTTTCAAAGTTTAGAAAATAGGTATTTAAGATTTTTTAAAGATTTTGGTACAATTTAAAAAAAGTTTTAATCTTTAAAATTTAATTTTAAGGATTTTTGGTAAAAATTGTTACCTGAAATAATCTGAATAACTGTCTCCCTCTATCGGAAACCATTTCAAGCAACAAGTCAAAATGCTTTCCATCCGTAGTTTCGCTATAAGGCACGCATAACGCAAACGTTAAAAAATCTAACATGGCGCACACCACTAGCGCTCCCGTGCCTTGAGACTAAAACAAAACGAAGGTGGATATATTTTTCAAAGATCTTGCAATTTAAACTTACTATATGTGTTGTCCACATGTTTAACAAATGCTCCAGGAACGTTTTGGTTTGCAATAAAGATGATTTGTTCAATTGTTCTTGCCTTAAATCGTAGTCGTCGTGCATGGGATGCATTAGTGCGCAGATCATATCGATTGCAGCATGGGTAACTCCGTAATCGTTACGTTTTAGAGCTGTTACAACTTTTATGCCTATAGCTTCTCTAAAACTATACAAAAAATATTAGTAGATAAACGATGTTTTATCTTTTAGTTTAACAAATTAGGTACCCTGGTAGTTTTATAAAGGCGGCGTATCCCACTTTGCTGGCGACCAATCGTCTTAAAGCATGGAACTGGGCCTCTAGATTTACCGAGGATATTGTTTTTTGGTCGCCCTCTTTTTGCACAAGGGATTGAAGGGCGGCCACTATCAGTTTTTCCTTGTTTTCCGAGAATAGTTTCTTGAAATAAACAACAAAAAAGGACTAGTAGAAAAAGATACACAAAGTTTAAAAATGCAATCGTACAGTTTATAAATAAGGGTAAGAATTTAGAAATTGTTATGGTATTTAAAATGATCATAAATATAATAAAAAAATAATCAACCTTGGAGGTTGTCCGTATATTACGTCCGCATGCAGAGTATAATCCCTTTGCGAATAATGACGTTTGATGACGAGGGGTGGGGGGCAAATTCTTATGATTAATTAAATCATCATGTAAAAAGCAGAAAGCTAGATTTTGAAAGAAAAAAATATGTAATTATGTGATAAGAGTATGAGTATGAGTATAAGAGTCGTATAAGGGGGCATTCCACGATACTCGAGAATTTTTGTCCCGCCAATCACAATTAAAAATTGTGAGGAAAAACCACACATTCTTAAATTTATATTGAAATATTGTTTATTATGTTTGTAATAAGCTTATAAACATAATAAACATAATATTATAAGATATTAATTTTATAACGTGTTTTTTACTCACAATTTTTTTGTGACTGGCGGGACAAATACTCCCGAGTAACGTGGAATGCCCCATAACTAGCCCCATTGCATCATCTCACCCGAGCCCCGCACAAGCCTCCGTTACCCTACGCCGATTTTTTTCCGCCACCAGCAACCACGGCTTCCCCCGTGTTTGCTGGGTGCGAATGCCCACAGCGTGCGGTACTGTACACTATTTGGGTCTCGAGAGCGACGTGCGAATAGTTTGAATAGCCTCTTCCGGTTTCGCCGGGCCGTTGATATACGCCCAGTAGAAACAAAAGGAGATGTAGACATTCTCCGTATGCGAATTTGGTTGACTGGATTTTTGTGCAACAGAAGCGTTGTTTAATAAACACAACTTATTAAATGAGATGTATTTATTTTAAGAGAGATGATATTCAGTTGAATGCTAATTAGCATTAATGAATAAATAACTAAAATAACAAGAGCAGACTGCAACAAAGAAAACTGAGTAGTCAGCCCCAAAGATAATATTATCTTTGGTCAGCCCTTTTTAAATATAAGAAAAAATATGACGCCCCTTGCTCACATAGCATTTCCTCTTGGTAACATTTTGTTTATATTATCTAAATATCTTAAATATTATTTTATAAAACACATTTAGTTAACAGTGTTTTATTGCACTATATTTGAAATAAAAACTTATCATTATATAATAAAAATAAGTTAAAAGTAAAAACAACGAATAATTGAACGTGTTCGTTCACTATGTCTTATCTCGTCAAGAGTTCGAATGTCACTGAATATATAATTATGTGATAGTGAGGAACAAAAATAATAGGATGACGCTGGGTGATGACGATTAATGATGGTTAATGAGGTGTCCAAAACGAGCAAAAACGTGCGGACATAATATATTGACGGCTCCTTACTGGTGGATTCAAGCAAATTTAATTTAAAAAATGAACTTTTTCACTGAAATACCAAGACAAAAAGTTTCAATAAATTACAATCCTCACAACATTGTGTAATAAATGAAATGTCAATATTTTACACAAACGTCATACTTTGACATTAGTAACGTTTTTCTTACCATGGTTATTAATTAAGAAGATTATATTCAGGAGCTTCAACTCCGCATGAGAATGTATAGAAAACGCGTCGCTTGGCAGCGGGATAACGAAGGGGAATTGTAAAATGCGCACAAATAATTATGAATCAACTCACGTGACTGACTGCACGTGCACGCATTGGTTGGAAGATTTATAACAGAAATAAAGAAGGTTGATTGAAAACCACTTTTGTCTTTATTTTAATTTCAAAATTAATATTTGAGAAAATCACTATGGGATGTTTGTGCTGTGTTAAAAATTGTTTCAATTTGTCAAGGGATAAAAAACAAGCACATCAGTTATTTGAAATACCATTAGTAAGTTTACAACAAAACAACTGATTTTACATCGCAAAATTCAGTCATTTTATACGTGAAAATGCATTACTGATGACCAAATTAACATCATTACAGTTTACGTTTTCTGCTCCAACGACAGTAATACTGATTATTTCATAAATTTACTCACTGTTTTAACAAACTGTTTTGTTTACTACCAAGATTTTATTATAATTAAAATATTATAATATAATTACATTATTATTTACGACATTGGTTAAGGTAAACATTGGTTTGACGCTTGGCAGATGCACAAAATAATAGAGGTTAAAAAGATACCTTCTTTATCTCTGCAAAGGATAGGAGGGAGATGCGCAGAACTCAATTTTACGTTCTGTGTCATTGTACACATATCCTCCGCAGGGCTGGATGCTCCCGTGTACGAGTTTTGGTTCGTGCCGCGCATGACGTCACTTGATGAGTAGTTGCCGTGCGAATACACGAATACCTAATAGTAATATTATCAAAGAAATATCTGGACACAGTGCGTTTTTATTAAACTTAATATTGAAGAAAGTGTTATAATATGGATAGTATAGTACAATAATTTGAACACTGAAAAGTAATTCGAACCTTACCGAACGCAAAAACAACAAGTTAAACTAAAAATAGAGCAAGTTAACATCCAACAGCATCGCAAAAACAAGAATTTTTGGAGCAGATAATTAAAAAGCACGTTAAAGATTTAAAAACGCTCATCAAGTGACGTTTTTAAGTCCCGCCCAACATGCGCACCATCCTATTTTAAGGTGTATGTATCTTGTACCGTGGGTAACGACATTCTTATGGACCCCCCTCCTCGAATTTATATGGAGTTGAAGCTCCTGAATATAATCTTCTTAATGGTTATCAAATTTACTAAGTATATTTTCCTACTTACATCTTGCGTTACACTGTACAACAATCCACTATAGGGAACGTTAGCGTTAAATCTCTGAACGCACTCGGCAAAAGTACGGTTAGGAGGAGCATTCTGCAAAAACTTCACATGCAATGTTTCTGCCTCCTCTTCTACAGGCAAATGCAGGGGGCCCATCCGCCGACCTCTTCTTGTAGGAACCATAGTGATGTGTACGTCTTTATTACCGGAGGCTCTCACCCCATCCAGTAAAGAGGCTAGAAGGGAATCCCTAAAAATAGTATATAGGATTGTGGTCATAGTTAATTTATTAAGCTACGTTTACCTGTCTGTAGTTGTGTATGTTCGAACTTGCCCATTAAAATATTCAATACTAAACAATTGAGGGTTTTCATTATCACGCACTAGTACAAAAATATTGCTTAAAGGTTGTAGAGTACAAACACTGTAAGTTTGTGGGTCTCTTTCCAATATACAAGCTTCTGAAAGACACAAAGTTCTTCTGACAGGCTCTGGGTGTCGCGCTTTATGTATTTTATACACAGGAAATTCAGAAACGGACGTTTGAAACTCATCATCGCTGAAAAAGATGATTATAATTATTTTGTGAGGCATAAGTTGTTTTCATAGACATATTAAAAGAGTAGACATGACCTCAAAGCAACAAGTTTGTTTTGTTTTTTGTTAAAATACAATGGTGGTTTGTTCTGCGAAAATAAAGAGCCAGTAAAAACCTTATACAGGTAAAAACCTATTTCAAAATTCGTTTTGTAAGGTAATAGATTAATTTATTTTAATCAGTATCTGTTAAACCAGTTCCTAAATAAACAAATATGCGGTCTTTCATTCAGAATGATCTCATTTATAATTAAATTATACATAAAACTGTTGACAGATCAATTGAGTTTTTTAAAACTTTTCCACGTCCACTCTCTTTCTTTGTCTAAGATAAAACAACCTCTGTTAATATCCATTTTTTTATTGGCATTTGTTTTACAGTCAAAATATTTTGTTTATCAGTCATTTGTAAAATTAAATTTAAAATAGCAAAATTCTTTTGAAAAACAGTTGTTTAAGTGTTTGTGTTTAACACCTGTATTTCCCAAATACCTGTATTTCCCAAATCTTTGACACTGAAAGTCCTGTAAGGTAATTGGTGTTACTAAAACTTTAATATTGATTCCTAAATTTGCAGTGGCATTTTCTAAGATTTTGACTTTTATTTCTTCAAAATTTGAGGCTTGAAATAAGTGTAATCTTCCGAAACCTCCACAAACAATAACAAAACCACCTAAAATACATAAAAAATATGTTACAGCCAAATTTATAATAAATTTAAGTTACACTTTAAAATTTCAAATTCGGTTTTTATTGGTTATTTTGACATTTTAAGTGGAATTTAATTTAAAGTTCACTTTAAATTAATAAATTAATAATTATTAATAAATTTATAATTATTAATAAATTAATAATTATTATGAAATTAGCCCTTATTGACAATTGAAATACAAAAATAATACTTTTTGTATCTTTTTTAGTTTTTAGATACAAACTTCACACCATAAAGTCCCACTTTAAGATTTAAATCAGTTAAACACTAATTTTGTCTTTTTTTATTAATAAATTAATAATTATTATAAATAAATTAATAATTATTATGAAATTGGCCCTTCGTCACCCTAATATAATAAGGTTGTATGTTAAACAACCGAAAAATTTGAGTTTATGCTTCTACAAGGTTTTATGTAATCCACCCTTGACATACAACTTGAAAATAACTCTATACAGGATGTCCCAAAAGTCAACAATATCCTTCGGAGGACTGATAGACCAAGTCATTACCAACCAGAAAATCAAAACATGACCTTAGTAAAAAATACTTAGTTTTTAAGATATTGTCATTTATATGAATTTTATAACGTATAAAATCATGCAAAATTGTTTGTTTTCAAAAGGTAAAAAACAACTATTAGTTTTATTTTGAACTGTAATCAAAAGCAGGCCTATTCAGGGTTGCGCAACAAAAAAAAAGAATCCTAGAATATGGAATTTTGCAGCTGTGACACTCGAAAATTGAATCTAAGGTGACAACTTTTACAAAATTCATAAAAGTGACAATATCTTAAAAAATAACGATTTTTCATGTTTTGATTTTCTGGTTGGTCATGAGTTGGTCTATCAGTCCTCCAAAGGATATCGTTGACTTTTGGGACACCCTGTATATATGTATACATAGAATATACATTCTATAGAATTATTTTTAAGTGGTATGTGAAGCGTAGGCCACGTATAATCCTGTAGAAACAGGCACTTAAATTTTTCGTTTTTTTTAACATACAACCTTGTTATATTAGGGTGACGCTTTATTGACAATTGAAATAAAAAAATATTATTTTTTGTATCTTTTTTAGTTTTTATATACAAACTTCATAAAGGCCCACTTTAAGATTTAAATCAGTTAAACGCTAATTTTGTCTTTTTTTCTGAAAATAATTATTATTATCCGCCTGGTCTATGTAGGTACTATTTTGTGTTTAAATTAAGACCTTTATACACAAAAATCTATTTATTGTATTATTAATACAATATATAGATTTTTGTCTATAAAGGTCTTAATTTAAACACAAAATAGTACATAGACCAGGCGGAGAAAACACATATTATCGCCGAGCATAAATTGTGTGCGAGGCAATTAATTTAGGTTAGGTTTAACTCACATGATGACATTTTACCTTTATTTCTGTATGGAGTTTAATAATAATTTCACTTTTGAACTACTATTAATATGAATGAACTATTCTATAGTGTTATAATATAAAAATTATTGGACTTAAAAAAAGTCCCTTCTGAAGGACTTATATACAATTGTAGTCAGTAGCACTAACCACTAGTCCACCGTCGGCGGTGGTAAATATATATTTTTCTAATTTGTTAAACTTATTTTTTAGCTTTTTTAAGTCAGGCACACAATTCCGCGCACGAGAACCTTATTAACAGGTTTTGTTTAAAAGAAAAACGCGGCGTGCCAATAATTTTATAGTTATGAGTCATAACTTATGACACGGCACAGCGTGGTTGTAGTCACTTTCTTATTAAAATGTCAAAGTGGGACTTTTTAATGTGGAGCATAGTACTTTAAACTGAAATAAAGAGTGGGAAGCAGTTAAATACATTTTTATTTAAATTTAGTTTAAATATTTACTTATATTAGTAAATCATACATAAATCTCGTGACGCTTAAAATGGTGACCAAGGTAAGACATGAGTTGTGACAGAATGTGACGATGTAAAGACCACCCTAAAGGGTCGAATTATCGAACTTCAGTACCCCCTACAAAAATGTTCCGAATCTTATTTGAAAAATCCGACTAAAAATGAAACAAATAAGCGATTTACTTTGCCACGTGACGTTTTAATAAACCCTCCTCCCTTAGCTGTGAAATCGTGACAGTCCTTTAAACCCCCCCTACAACCTCCAGCATCAAGAGATTTATGGATGGCCCCTAAGTACATATTATTTAATGTTTAAAAAAATTAACAAATGAAAAAACAAATTTAACATTTTCTACATTAATTAATCAAAAAAATGTTTACCTGGATAGTCTGATATCATACAAATTCCCTCAAAATCCTTAAAATTATAACTGGCAAGAACAATATTAGTGGCGGGATCCAACTGGTCTAAAGAATATGGTGTTACTTCCAAAATAATTGGCAACCTAACATCCGACCAATGATGTTTATATGCATGATACCTCTGTGAAAAAATTATCACAATAATGTATTACACACAAAATTAGCATTCTTACTAGTATTTCCTTGGGTTTTTCTAAAAAACTGTTACGAAATTTTAAAGCTTCAGTCATTAGTTCAGTACGATGATCAGTAGAAAAAGTCATTTTGTCAATTTTTCTGTCTTTTTTCATCGTAATTTGAAACTCATTGGGGGCATTTCCAGTTCTAACCGGAGTAACTGCAATAAAATCATTATAAGCCCAACGATTTGTTACTTCCAGGCTTGATGGGTTATATGTGGTGATTCCCATGGTTCCAATGGAAAATATCCGATTGTACCTACAAAAAATGGTGTTTCAATACTTTTTTAATATTTGTTAGTTTTATTTCGTACTTTCCCTTCCAGGAGTGTTTGGTAACGAAAAAACACGCCACATCCTGATTATCTCTGATTGGCATCATTTCATTTCCCTATATAAACAAACACAAAAGAAGCACTGCAACAAAAAGGTTAGAATTAGAAAAAAAACACTATTTTGTCAAGACAATGTATTTTTTAGCCATTTACCTAAAAAATCGGCGTTAAATCGTGGACTATAACATCATTTTATTTAATAACATTTTGGGGGTGTCAGCTGTTATTAGAGAAATGTCAAAAACGAATCGCTGTCATTTGCATTAAATAAAATTTTCACTGGTTAAATAAAAATGTCCAATTGGATTTTAAAATGTCGTTTTAAATTATTAATTACATAAGTTAAATTATTATAAGTAATATTTTATAATTTTAAAAGAAAATTGGCTTTATTTAATTATACATACCGATTTGAAAGTATACATTTCAATAGCTTACTTTTTATACAATAAGAACTTTAGCTGATGAAAAAAACTACCAGGGTACTTGAAAAAGTAAAAGAACCAGTAAACATTTAATATTTTATTTATACAAAAAGTCGAGTTACTATAAATAATATCTACATTGATTTATTAACAAAAGTAACATAATCTTAGAGAAAGGTCGATCAAACAAAAGATTTCTTCGGAAAAATCGCAAAATAATCCCTCCAAAATGAATAAATCCAATTTTAATACTCCAATAGATTTATCATATTACATTAAAAAAATACTACGATCTACTAATTACAAAAGTACAATATGTACTAATAGGAAAAAACTACAGGGTGTCTTACAATCAGACGACAGCCTGTGCGTTTTTTGGTGCGATTTTTTGCGTGCGGCCAATGGAAATCTTCGGTTGAACCGACCTATCGCAGGAATAGTGTCGAATGAAGTCCAGATAGTAGAGATGGGCGCGGTGAATTAATTTATGTCCGAAAGTGACCGTATTTTAAACATCATATACAGGGCGAGACGAAACAACCGCTACGTGGAAAATCTAAATTGTTAATTATCTTTAGATAGACGAAAAATTATTAGTGCAATATATTACACAAATAATTTTCCGTCTATCTAAAGATAATTAACAATTTAGATATAGTTAGTGTAGGTATAAACAGTTATTATTAATATATTGGTTAAGAAAATGTAGCCGTTTAAAAATATGACCAAATCTGATTAGGGGCAAATTGAAAACAATTGTAAACTAAAATCGTTTTGATTTTTGAAACAGCACATCCCTATTGAAAATGCCATATAGATCCATATAAAAAACACGTATCTGGATTCTATATGGTTTCTATCTGGTTCAATATAGGTATTTGAAACAGGCATTTCACTATAGAACCAGATAGAAGATTACATTATAGAACCAGATAAAAACACTCTAAAACACTATAGAACCAGATAGGGAAACCTATCTGGAAATACATATAGAACAGAAACCAGATAAATCCATATACAACCATATACATGTCTTTATAAAGACATGTATATGGTTGTATATGGATTTATCTGGTTTCTGTTCTATATGTATTTCCAGATAGGTTTCCCTATATGGTTGAATATGAAATTTTTTAAAATGGAAATCCATATTCAACCATATAGAATCCGTAATGTTAACCAGGACTTTCCATATATATAGGACCTATAAAACCATATAGAACCAGATACGTTTCCTTATCGGATTCAATTTGGGTTCTATATGGCATTTTCAATAGGGATCTCTCTTATTTGGTTTGTTTCATATGTAGACCCTTTAACCAAGGGTGTCTAGTTTTATATACCTATGTTCTATAGTCTAAGGTTTGTATCCATTCCATCTTATGCAATAATTATTATTTAAATAAAACTACTCCTTAGAATTGATTCCCCTTTTTTTCAGTGGCGGCTGGTGGATTTTGGGCACACCCATATCTCAGTTATTAGACATGGGACCCACATCAAATTTATATGAGTTTATAATGACATTATATAGACAAGTTCTGTGCAAGCAGAATTCAAATTGAAGTTTGCGAAAATAGTTAGTTTTTAAGTGTGCCCCCCCAGCCTCCTGCCCTCCCAATTTAAGATAATTCAAATTAAAGTGCTACAATATTTAATTCACTGAAGTTTATTATTATTTATAAATTCAAGAATTACAGGTTTTATACCATTTTAAATTTTTATTATTTCTTTTACTAAATTAAAAAAAAATAGAAATGGTATAAAATCTGTAATAGGTACTTGAATTTTTTTAATAAAATTTGAAATTTGTCGATATTCTTCAGTGAATTAAATATTGTGGGTTGGGTTATCTTATATTGGGGGGGGGGCAGGAGGCTGGGGGGCACACTTAAAAACTAACTTTTTTGCGCAAACTTCAATTTGAATTCTGCTTGCGCAGAACTTGTCTATATGATGTCATTATAAACTCATCTAAATTTGATGTGGGTCCCAAGTCTAATAACTGAGATATGGGTGTGCCCAAAATCCACCAGCCGCCACTACTTTTTTTGTTATTAGTTTGAATATTTAGGATACATAAAATCCTAGTTTGACATTTAAATAAAGAATGCAGTCAAATAATTGAGGTTATATATCTGTCAGCGCTAATTTCATCTTATTTTCTGAAAATAATAAAGTATATGTATTTTTTGTGTTATTCAGTAGGTACTTTTATGCAACTGACCATTAAAAAAAAGTTCAGATTAACCAGCGCATGTGGAAGATTTTGAAAGAATTCTTCTAAAATCTTCAATATGCTTAAAAACGTGTTTCTCATGATGACTGACGAGGCATATTTTCACATGAAATAATTAAGCTCTCACATTTTTTCAATTAATTTCCAATATTACACTTCATTTAAAAATTTATTTGACTCTTGAATCTTAAAAACTAAGAAGATTATAATATTATTCAGGAGCTTTAACTCCGCATGAGAGTAGATAGAAAACGCATCGCTTGACAGATGAATAAAGGAGGGGAAGTGTATAATGCGCACAAATAATTATTAATCAACCGCGCATAGACCGTCAACTTACGTGACTGACTGCACGCTTTTGTTTGGAAGATTGACAACAGAGATAAAAAGGTTGATTGACAAGCACTTTTGGCTTTATTTTAATTTCAAAATTATTATTTGAGAAAATCACTATGGGATGTTTGTGATGTGTTAAAAATTGTTTTAATTTGTCAAGGGATAAAAAACCTGCACATCAGTTATTTAAAATACGCCAAAGAAGTATCGGGTTTTCGCAACGCGCGCGCCATCTGGTGGACTTCAATAGCATTGCGTGAATTTAAGAATTGTCAACAATACATTTAAAGCACGAACTGTACGTAATTTTTAAATAAATAGGTAGTTTTTTCATTAAGGGAGGACAAATTTTGTTCAATTGCAAAGCTGAATCGTGCACGTTATTTGTGTTTTACGTTTCAAGGAAAAAACTGGTTTAGTACTCAATTTCGATTGATTATTCTTTATATAATTGATTAAGAAACTCAACGCTTAAATGCTTGTATAGTTATGTTAGTGTGTGTATCTTATCTAAGGGATCATCATAAAATGTGTATTTATTGTATCTAATAGATACAATTTATATTTACAGGGACTGTATGAAATTTATTTCTTCATTCGGATTAACACTGTTTATTGGAAAACCCATAAAACTCAACCCAGGATTTCCTCTCGAAATACACCCAACAACACAACAAATCGTGCCACGGTTTTTATTCGATATTTTTCGATATATTTTCCGGCTTTATTGTTAAAACCACTCGTTTGTAACACACGCGTTTGACAGATGATTATCAATAGTTATACTTTTGTTACGATGATAACAGCCGAGTGGTGGCGCTACTAGCGATACTTCTTTAGCGTATACCATGGTATATACCATCATTAAATTTATTACACCAAAGAACTTGCAATCAACTGATTTTACGTTGCAAAATTCAGTCATTTTCAGTGGCGGATTTACAAATTTTCAAGGTATAGGCTGAATAGTTTTTGCCGCCCTTGCCTCAACAATTGTCATATCATACATTACTTTTTCAATGCAACAATTTCGTTGAAATATTTCTGAGCTAATCGAAGCTCAATCAATGTATACTAGGTTGCCTAATTTTGTGATTTTTAACATGCGCGAATAAAGATCAAACAGACCTTGTTGTGTGGATTGTTGGGTAACCCACACGGTTATTGGAATAGAGAAAGAAGCTCGCCACGTGCACGTGCAACATTGACGTCATTGATAACATTAAAAAAATACCGCGTTCGGGGAAAAATATTTTTTTTGACTTAAGACTATCTCGCTATTACTGTTCAAGATTTTTTTTTAATTCCAATCGAATTTTCTGAAGCTACTAGTGCATGTGAAACATATAATAGTCAATCCATAAAATTGAAATCGTTAAAATTATTCACTAAATTATTCATTATATTCGAATAAAAATCGAAAAATTATATACAAACCATCCAGTGCGTAGCCTCCAACCAGTAGTAAGACTGGCATGTATGGGTTGTTGGTGGGAAGAGGGGCATATTTTTTTACAATTTCGCTCTTTTCACTCATAAAAAGTGTGGGCAAAGGGCGCAGAGGCGAGAGGCCGATTACTGGTTGAGGGGCGGCGAACTAGCTGTTTTACTCTAGAATATGGAAGTTTGCTACTCTCGGAATGTGCAATGACAAGTGAGAGAGAAAAGTCATCGACAAAATTTGTTGCAGACTTCTATCTGTAAGACATCAGAAACCCGTCATAGAAAAATCTTTTTGATTTCTATGAGGTAAAAAAAAATCGTTCCCCAAATTTGCCGCCCCCAAAATCTGCCGCCCTAGGCTCGAGCCTACTCAGCCTGCTGGTAAATCCGCCACTGGTCATTTTATACGTGAAAATGTATTACTGATGACCAAATTAACATCATTACAGTTCACGTTTTCTACTCCAACGACAGTAATACTGATTAGTTTAATTTAATTTACTCACTGTTTTAACAAACTTTTCTGTTTACTACTAAGAAGATTTTATTATAATAAAATATTATAATATAATTACAATATTAATTATTATTAACCACATTGGTAACCATATTGGTTAACGCTTGACAGATGCATTTTGAGGTTCAAAAGATACCTTCTTTATCTCAGCAAAGGATATGAGGGGAGATGCACAAAACTCAATTTTGCGTTCACGGTCATTGTACACGTGCGACATTTTTATGGACCCCGCTCTTCGAATTTATATGGAGTTGAAGCTCCTAAATATACTTTTTAGTCAAAAAATAAAGAGAAATGTCAAAAAAATACTTTAAAATATTTTCCCGGCAATAAAAGATTATTTCCAGTATAATAAAGGTTTGATTGGCTAAAACACATGGCTAAAATTAAAAGTTTTAAAAACAAAAATAAAAAAAGGCTAACACATACATAACCTTCATTATTTTACTACAATTCCTATTTAAATGTCAAAGTGCGGGACTTGAAGCTGTTTCACTGAAGCATAGTAGGTACTTTTTGTAAATAATTTTTTTAGTAGATCAGTAGACCCTTATTTTTTATTCAAAATTTCATAATCATAACTTATCTGCCTTACTGCAAATGGGGGTTTGTAATTATTTATTAAATACGTATTTGAGGTTTTTTTAAATTTTTGCAATAATTTTTTAAAGAATTATTTGCAAATGTCATTTTTATAAACTTTCTATTGTTTTTAATTACTCATTCATAAAGATTTATACACATTCAGATCTAGACATCTAGACATACATCTCAAGTTTGATTAAAACTCTTAAATCTCTTTCTTAAAAAATATCGTTTTTTTAAATTTAAAATAGTTATTCTAAATAGAAAACTTTTAAACAATTTTCAAACGGTCATATCTTCTAAACTAAAAACTGTTCGATATATTTTCCACATTATCGACCTAAAATTAAAAAAAAAACTCGTAGAGGTATCTCGCCCCACCCCAAGTAACACACAACGTAAAGATATGTTTTATACACAGTTATATGGGAGAAAGGGGGGAAGGTAAACAGGAGATCTGTAATGAGAAAATGGAAATTTTTATGGGTGTGTTAGGGCTTAGTTTATTTATTATTATTTTCCTGGTAAGTTTATGCTGGGCCGCTCCAATTACAAAATATTTTTTTTTATTTTTCATTGGTTGACAGTCCCTTTTATTTACAGTAAGTTATTTCATCTTAGATGCCTTATGATCACGATCGAGATGCTATATACAAGGGTGCAGTGAAGTGACAGAAGAGGCGCCGTGTTTTTGTTTCCGTGTTGCATTGCTGCCGGATGTTCCCCTAAAATTTAAAAAAAATGATTAATATTATGTTGAACATATGTGTAGTACACATTGTGTACATATTCCAAAAATTGGCGAATGCGCCGGGATATTGAATCAGAATTTAAATTTAATTGTATTTAGACAAATTGGTCTTACAATTGGAGTTTTATATTTAAAATTTGAAACGTTGGTAGTCAATGTAGTATTTAATAATGTTAGTACCTACATAAAAAACTTTTTCAAATTTTGTTTTCTATGATAGAAATACTAAGTATAAATTACAAATACACAAGTGATGCACTTGAAGTGCATACATAATAAACAAAGTAAATAAATTTATAAACCCCATTAAATTCAAAAATAGCAAAATCCATTTTTATAAAAAATTACATATTGTATGAAATAATTAATACTTGTGTGCATATACCTACGTAGGTATAATAATAATAAAGTTGTACACTAATAAAGTTATTTCTGATTTATGCAGTCCAATTAAAAATTAAACTTATCTCGTATTTAAATCGGATCTACCATATAACAACCTATTATTATTTTATAAAGCATTTCATGCAGCTTTTAAATCAACTTGCATAAAAATTACTTTATGCTGCTTGCAAAAAACTTCAACAGTGAATGTTTAGGCACAGATTACTATTATATATAATAGTATACAGTTCATTTTTTTTATCTGGACTCGTGGTTTTTGTTAGGTTGGTGGCTTATGCCAGTTTGATTTAGTATTTTTAGTATTTTAAAATGGTACTTTTGCTAAAGAATTTAATTAAATACTTTGACACTGTCAAATTGACATTAATATTTATTTTTGATAATTTTTTTCTTACATGAAAACGTCGTAGTTGAATTACATTTAAGTCACTTTGATAACGGATAAAAAGGAAGGTAACTTTTTGCAAGTGGATAATTATTTATTTACCTCGTGTCATTTCATTTCCTTGACAACCTTGCAAATAATTATTTTTTAATACCAGTTGTCAAAAAATCTTTTAAAATGAATCGTTTTGGTGTCGTGTCCGACAAAAAAATTAAAGAACAAATTGTAAATAGTATCCCAAATAACACTTTAAATAATAAAGCGTCAATTTGGCGACAATTTATGGCATTTTGTAATGCGAGGAATTACAAACTACTCGACTCAACATCACAGCAAGACTTAGCAAATATTTTGCTTGATTGGGCATACAATATGAAAAAAAATTAATGGAGATGATTATAAAGAATACGTTATCAAAACTATGTGGAACTCAACGGCAAAAATGCTTCAAGAGAAATACTATCAAGATTTTAATATCAAAATTAATCCATTTTCCGATATTGTATTCAAAGAGGCCCGTGATGCTAGAAATGCAAAAAGAATGGAGTTACAAAGAATTCCGGAAAGCAGAAAAAGAAGTTCAAATGCTCTCACAAAAGAGGAAATTATAAAAATGGCTAAGATATGGAAAGAAAATGAACCAGAAGGTTTACAAAAAAGATTCTTCCATATTGTTTCTTACCAGTTAGCATGGAGAGGTGGAGAAGCAGCAGCATGCATGTTGTATTATTTTAGTGAAGAAAAAACCAACGATGGGATATGAAAATTGCCTGTCAGTCAAACAATGAAAACAACATTCAAAATGCAAGCATTACAGATTTTATTGAAGAAAATAATACACTGGAGCTATCTTCTACCTCTACATCCAGAATTATTTATAATAATTGTTCATTTACTAATTGTTCATTTAAATAAATTTAAAAAAGAGACTTAATCATCAATTAATCACAAAATTATCTCGTCGAATTACACTCGAGCTTTTTTTTCTGGCAGGATAAATTTATGTTTTCTAACTTTCAAACTTATTACCTTTTAGCAATTTGACTCGAAAAAATGTCATCTGACAAAATCGCTCGACCTACGGTCTCGCAATTTTGATTGATGACATTTTTTCTTGTCAAATTGCTAGGTAACAAGCTTTTAAGGAAAACAAAAATTTATCCGGCTAAAAATAAGCTCTTGTGTAATTATAGTCGATAATTTACTTGTCAATTATAAATAAAAAGATAATTATGCCAAAAATAATAGCAACGAATTCGAATGTAAAAGCCCTTTTGAGGGCAAAACTTCATTTTGATGAAATTATGCCAAATGCCACTAAGGAAGAAAAAGTACATCGCCTTATGGACATTTTTGGAGTAAAAAAGTAACGAATTTGGTTTTATAAATATTACATTACACATTATTTTCACATTATTCACCATTGGACAACATTTACGTTCACAAAAAATTTTAATTTCTTTTATATAAAGCGAAGATTATTATCCGCTAGGAATACTTTCTCTTCTGGGCCGTAAAGCAACCTATATTTAACTACCTTTTTATATGATTTTACTCATCCAAGCACCATCAAAGCCAAATTAATTGCATTTTAACTACGAATATTATATTATAATAGACAACGTACAATGTACCCTACAATAATTTATACATAACCACAATTAGATTTATAACTAGCTTAGTTTGTTTTAATCAATGCGACCAACTTGACAACTGTATTTACCAACCAAAACCCTAAATTTGCAACGTTGCCGCAGTCCAGATAAAAAAATGAACTTTAGTAGTATAATAGTAAGCTGTGTTCTAGGTATACTAAAATGCGGTTATAAGTACAGTATGTCCATTATAAGTTGGCGGAGCAAAGGAATGTTTATGCAGTTTAGATAAATATTATTAAAAAACATACCGGCTTAGTTATGTTTTTTATTATTATTTATAAATATAAATTATATAATATTATTACCTACTTATATTATAAAAAAATACGTTTTAAAAGCATACAACACTACAATTGTTTAATAACTAAATAAATTTCTGTCCGCCAATCTATCATGGTACTTATAGAAAATTATATAAAATATACCAGGGTTTTATTTGCGATATTTTGTCGATTTATATTGTAAAATTAAAAAAAATTAAAAAAGAATTTTATAAATGTTAAACTTATTATGGGGTTCTTTTTTGATAAAAAACCCTCCCGACTGCGCCATAACATTAAGGCGAATTTAAATTATTAAAAAGCCGAATAAGTTTCAAATAATTCAATTACTCGTGTAGCCCGGAAAAACAGACGCTTTGTTACTTAATATAATTAATTAAAATGTTGTCGCAAGTTGCAGAGCGTGCCTCTTGCAATGGCGACTTCGAAACAGGTCGAGCGTGACAAAAGTTGAGCGCGTATGTCGCGCAAAGTGTATTAGTTCCTTAGTTGCTATCAACACCAGTGATACGGTGCTGCAATTTAAGTTTTTAATTGTATGTTGACACGTCACCGGTCCGTGAAACCTAGTCCAAGTCTCAATTAAAATAAAATATACTGCGTGCTTGCGAAAACGCAACACCCCAGATGGTTTCTCTGCAGGGATTTAACTGCTTCTATAAAAAACAATGTAGAGAAGGATGGGTTATAATGAGGAATAATTATTAGATGCATTATTATCAGATATTATTAATTAATTAAAATTTCTAAACGGATCACCCAAAAACCAGATTATCATAATAATGCGTATAATTTTTGTACAGAATGTTATTTGCGAATGTTTGCTTCACTCAGAGAAATTTTTGCTATCACAACCAAAAATATGTATAATGTAGCAATATAATATGATTGATATAGGCACAACCATACATATAGTTAAATGTACTATAAAAATATTGTTAATTGTTATTGTTCTATTACAAATATTATTGTTTTTTTAACTATATTATATTGCTTATCCTACCAAAGCTGCATGCTTCCAGTAACAATCTTATAAGTATTAATAACGATTTACTGATTTTTCTGAACAATAATAAATGTTACAGTTACAATACAGTATATTTTTGACAACCGCGTATTTATGGCTGGTAACCACGTTGTTTGTTGTTATTAAGATGTGATATTATTCTTTAAAATGCCACAACTGTTGAAATTAAAATGTAATTTATGTGCAACAACTATGGACTATATTACCTGCAATCACATCATTTGTTGGAACAATAATAATGTATATATATATATATATATATATATTTTAATATAAATTGCTCTTCCAACAATGTGTATTGTTAGAATTACCTAAGGTAATTTACCTATGCATTTTAAATACCTACAGGGGATCAACAAAAACAATTTTAAAATATTTAAAAAGTTTATTTTTCAAATAAATACAAAATAAATAGGAACCTAGTTTTTTAAACTTAAAAAAATGGGTGAAAAACTTTGTCTTAAGAAATAAGACAGGTAGGTAGGTAAGTTTAAAAATAATATTAAAAACTTAAAGAATTCAATTATCCTAGAGTACTCTCTAAAAATGAATTAGTCAAAAATGACTAATTTACTAGTCAATTACATATTAAATGGAAAATTGAATATATCTCAAAAACTGCTCCACTTTTATAATTTTTGACGGTATTTTCGGGTTCAGGGGACAATTTTACATAAGAATTGGCTGTTAAATTTTGTGATACCATGGTATTCCATGGTTAACCATGGTACAAGTGAAAAAGCAGCCACTAATAACTATTAAATTAGTTATTTTTGACTAATTCATTTTTAGAGAGTACCTAATACTTGTGCATCTAATGAACATATGTAGTTACTTACCTTGGAACGTTTCTAGCAAATGATTAAGGTTAAACTTACTTAAACAATCGCTTACAAATGCATTTTTACATGTATAACTTCCCATTTTAACACTTACTTTGTTTATAATAACTTTACAGTTCACGACGTTTACGCTTATACAAAAATATAACATATAGAATAGGAATAATTCCGAATTAAACTGGTAAATAGCAAGAAACTTCAAGAGACCTAACTTTGCGGCCATTTCGCATGCTAATTGTTGCTTCTTGCGTGGGTGTCGCGTCGGTCGAAGTACGCGTCGTTTTCATACAGCAATTTAATTCGATTAATCGAACATGAAATTAGGCTGGTTTTACAGAGTGCACGATTATAAACGGTAATGATATCGCTAAAGTAA